GTCAGTTTGCATATGCGTCTTTAGTCCTGGCATTCTGAACTCAAAACCCCAAAAGAGTGCTTTCTTGACCCTTAAAGTGTTTTATTTTTAGTAAATACGTTTTTAATTCTGTGACCTCAAACCTCCAAACTACGTTAGTATTTCACAATTTTACAATGATTTATCCCCTCTATTGCTTTAAATTTAATAATTTCATCTTCTTTATCAGTATTTAAGTTTTTCTGTAGTCTAAAGGCCTTTTTATTTAAAATATTATATATTCTGATTTCTTAATTTTAGGGATTTTTCTCTAGACAATTGAGAATATGTAATTTTTATACTTTAATGTTTGATTATAACCTACATTTGAAAAGCCAATTTTTAAAGAAATCTGGGAGAATTAAAAAATCATTTTAAAAGTATCATGTCATCTTTAGCTCAAAATACTTCAGAGACATTTGTTTGTTTCTTTGTTTGTTTGAGATAGGGTCTTGCTCTGTTGCCCAGGCTGGAGTGCAGTGGCACTGTCACAGCTTGCTGCAGCCTTGACCTCCCAGGCTAAAATTATCCTCCCACCTCAGCCTCCTGAGTACCTGGGACTGTAGGCATGTGCCACCACACCTGGCTAATTTGTTTGTTTTGTAGAGATGAGGTCTTGAGCCCAGGCTGGTCTAAAACTCCTCAGCTCAAACAATCCTACTGCCTCAGCCTCACAAAGTGCTGGGATTACAGGTGTGAGCCACAGCCCCCAGCCCAGCATCTCATTTTTACTGGTGGTGTACAACATAAAATTCAAAATTCAAACTCTAACATGGTTTTACATCTGGCCCCTACCTGCCTTTCACCTCTCCTTCTTCATTACATACTCTACCTATTCCCATGCACTTTAGACTCAAGTAATAAAAACAGCTTATATTGCTAGGAACAGGCCGCATTCTTTCATGGTCTGACTTTTTACTAACACTTGTGGCAATCTAGAACACCTTCCTATAGGCCATCTTACATTCAGATCATACCCTCTCTGAAATTTTTAATCTGTAATATTCTACTGAAACTTCACCTCTCTGAAGACTTCTCTAATCTCAGTCTTTTCCATTGTTCATATTCTGTCTTGCAACAGTTATCACATGGTTAAAGTTGTTTCCCAGTAAACTATGAGTCCCCTAACTGCAGAAGGGAAGGCATCTTTCTTACCTTTGCTTTTGTACCATACTTAGCCTAGAACCTGACGTTAAGCAGGTACTTCTCAAAACAAAAAACAAAACAAAACAAAACAAAAAAACAGGTGGAGAGAGATAAGAAGGGATTCCTGACACCTCAGCTGGAGATAGCTGTAGCATTTTAGTAGGAATCTGGGGAATGGGAAGCTGCCGGAAAGCCCCGTGCCGGCTTTCGGGTCCAGGCCATGCTCTTCCAGGTTTACGTGCGGGCCTTGCTGCCTTCAGCTGTCAGCACTTGAAACAGAACTTTGTGAAGCTCCTTTCTTGCCTTCTCAGTGAAAAAAAAAAAAACAAAACCTTTTTTACCCCATCTGGTGCCAGCACTGTATGATTCCTAATAAGCTTGAAAAGATCATGTTGGTAATACTTTACAAGTTCATTGCTAATGTTTGACGTTTATTACGTGCTTACTGTGTGCTGGTAAATATGCTTAGGTATTTTTCATATATCACCTCATCCAGTCTTTACCACAATACAATGAAGTAGATGCCATTATTATCCCAGTTTAACAAATGAAGGAAAAATGAAGTTCAATGACATGAACTAAACTGCCCAAGGCCATACAACTATTGACTAAGGGAGCCGAAACTTGAATCTAGTGTAGATTCAAATTAGAGCTCATTCTCTTACTCACTACCAATAAATATTACATGGCCATAACTGAAGCCCAGATAACAGCATGGTTATAGTGTGGGCTTTAAGATCATCCAGGCCTGGTGGATTCAAAATCCATTTATTGGAGGCAAGTGACTTCACCTCTGATCTGCAGTTTTCTCATGTAAAACGATAATATCTACCTCAAAAGAGTTACTGCCCACCGAAGTACATTGTGCATACTAAAAAAGCAAATGTTCGTTTCATTTGCCACTTCTACAGTTCTCTTTATGTGAACCCCGGGGTAATAGTTTGTACAGAATAAGGCCTGGCATGAGAAGACAAATACCATCTAACAAATAAGAAAGCTGTCATTCTTTCTACAGAATGTCAACCAGTGCCTGCCTTCCAGGCTCAACAAGGGTTTTCGTTTTTGTTTATTTGTTTGTTTGTTTGTTTTGAGACAGAGTTTCGCTCTTGTTACCCAGGCTGGAGTGCAATGGCGCGATCTCGGCTCACCACAACCTCCGCCTCCTAAGTTCAGGCAATTCTCCTGCCTCAGCCTCCTGAGTACCTGGGATTACAGGCACGCACCACCATGCCCAGCTAATTTTTTGTATTTTTAGTAGAGATGGGATTTCACCATGTTGACCAGGATGGTCTCGATCTCTTGACCTCGTGATCCACCCACCTCGGCCTCCCAAAGTGCTGGGATTACAGGCATGAGCCACCACGCCCGGCCCCCAGGATCAACAAGGGTTTTCTTACCATAATCACATTTATTCTCTTAATGAAAAGGGTGTGTCTTGAGTATTTCATAGTTAATTACCCATAAATGTAAAATAAGGAATAAAACCAGTGATCTGTCTGCTGTACTAACTAGGCTTCTTTCTTGGGAATACTTAGGGAACAAATGAGGTTTCCTGTGGGTTATTTATTACGTAAAGTGGTTGCTCCCGTAGCTGCACAACTGACCTGTCAGTGCCATTTAGAAGAGAAGTCATAAACACAGCTGCTGTTTTTGTGTGGCTTGTGGTTTTGGTTTTGTTTTCATTTGAACTTTTTTATGCAGCATGTCATCATTTAAAAGTAGTCATTTGGCGTTTTCCCTTGCATTTTTCAAATTTTTTGTATGTTTTAAAAAACACAAGTCACTTCTATAATCTTTCACACAGATTGATCCATCTGTTCTTTTTACTAGCCAATGAATTTTTTTTACATATAGGAAATAAGACATTTATTTTAAATTCTATCATTTTAGTGGATCTCTTATTATAAGTTTGAAGAAAAATAGTTTCAACTATCAAAACATAATTTTCTTATATTCTTCACTGTTTCCAGTTAATTTCTGTATATCCATGGGTTGGAAAAGGCTGAAATTTTCTGCTATTCCTACTCTTCACGTCCTTCATCTGTTGCAACTCTGAAGCATACATAATTATTTGTTTGTAAGCAAGAAGTGGTACAGCATAAACTTCTAATCAATTAGGCCCTATTGCTCTCTTTAAGTCACAAGGGGTATGAGGTCGAGGTGGATTAAAGGGGGCAGGCATAGATTCAGAGAGACCATTCAAGCCTTTGTAGCGGTCTGGACAAGAAATAGTGATGGCCTCGCCCAAGGTACTAAGCATGGTAGCGAAGGAATGTCGACAGAATGGAAAGAGAATTAACCAAGCTTGTTGATGGGTCAGGTGTTGATTGGCATGAGAGAGAGAGAGAGAGAAAGAGAGAGAGAGAGAGAGAGAGAGAGAGAGAGAGAGAGGAGTCAGGGACGGCCGTTTTCCTCCCCTCTGCTTGTGTTTGTTCAACTCTTGCTTATCTGTAAAAGATTTGATGTGTGTTACCTACTATGGGAAACCTTCCCACCCCAACCTCGGTGACCCCACACTAGGTGCTGTTGTAGTCCATGGTGACATGTATTCTGTTTTTTAACTGTGGATTTAATTACCCCACACACAGCGTACGCATAATCTTCGTATTATTTGCTTTGTCTTGTGAAGGCAAGGGCCATGTCTATCTTATTCATCATTAGATTCCCACACCTAAAGGATTCTGGGGACAGCACCAATGCGCTTTCGGTGAATAAGCAAACTGTCATTTATAGCTGTTACCTACAATACCTGATAGACTAAGCAAGTGTAGTAGGTTAGCTGGACCTTCCTGATTCATTTCTCTAGTTTAACTTTCATTTTTTTATTTGGTATCTCTCATTTTGCCTTTTGATATACTCTTACAGATCTGCTCACTGAATAAAAGAAAATACAGTTGTAAACAGCAATAAGTAAACTTGTGTTTTATGGATTTTGATAATATCTTCTAAAAGAACCCCCAAGATCGTTGATGTCTAAAAAAAATTCAGGACTTTCAACTCATAAGAACACATCATAGTTTTTAAAATATTACAAACTGGTTGGAACATTGCAGTTAACAGAGAGTCATGAATCTTATTTACGGGTAGATTTATTTCCATCAGAAGTTTTAGGACTAGGTTATTTGAGAAAGTAAATAGATCATTACAAAATCATCATCATACTTCAAGGAAAAATCATTGATGAAACTTTATAATATTGTGAATATATACCTAAATCACACTTTAAGAACAGAATGTCTAAGATTCCACCTAAATAAGAATCAACACAAAAAGCAAAAGGGAAATTACAAAGATTGATTTAAGAAAGAAAAAAAGACTAAGCCGTATAATTTCTCATTATTACAGGTCAAGGACAGGCAGTGAAAAAGGAAAAGGATTTGACTTCTGTAGACATGGTTTTACTTAACATAGGAGCAGTGGACCCATGTCTAAAAGATTCTTTCTGGCCTAAGTTCTGTGTTCTATAAGATAGAAGAGAATGATAAAGGTGACATGGAACGGGAATTTCAGGTTGAACCGCAACTTGATTTTCATTCTTTCCATAGCCTCATCTCTGTCTTGATGAAACCTGACTTAGGAAATTCACTCAAATATAATGTGTTCTTAAATGACTTTATTTAATTAAATACAAGGGGTTTTCTACTCTCTGCTGAAATAAATTCTTTATAGCCTAATTTAGAGCAACAGTCCCGATTAAAATATTTAAGATGAATCATTACTACTTAGCTTAATCAAGTCACACTATAGAAAATGACTTTTTACATTTTAGCAATGTTAGCAATGTATTCTTCTGTAGTTGCATCTCCTTTAACATATGTTTTCCTTCTTTGGTTTAGGTTTCTGCTTTGGGGCAACCATCCATCTAATTCCTTAAAGTAGTTTTATATGTAAAATTTGCAAAGAATCAGAACAATGCCTCCACGACCATCATCAGGTGAACTGTGGGGTATCCACTTGATGCCCCCAAGAATCCTCGTAGAATGTTTACTACCAAATGGAATGATAGTGACTTTAGAATGCCTCCGTGAGGCTACATTGGTAACTATAAAGCATGAACTCTTTAAAGAAGCAAGAAAATACCCCCTCCATCAACTTCTTCAAGATGAATCTTCTTACATTTTCGTAAGTGTTACCCAAGAAGCAGAAAGGGAAGAATTTTTTGATGAAACAAGACGACTTTGTGACCTTCGGCTTTTTCAACCCTTTTTAAAAGTAATTGAACCAGTAGGCAACCGTGAAGAAAAGATCCTCAATCGGGAAATTGGTATGATAAAATATCCTATTCTAAAATGCACATAACTATGATGCTTAACTGTTGTCTCTTACTAAAATGTTTCTGTCTAAACCAATACTTTTGTAATCTTAAATAGCTTTCTAAATAAAAATCATCCTAAATCTAAAGTATGTTTTACTATCAAACTGTGGAACTACTTTTAACACCTTGTTATTATTCCATAAGGTTTTATTTAAGAAAGATCATTTGTGGAGTGATTTAGATTGGTTATATCTCAATTTTATTGTTATTTTTTAAATGATGGGAATAATGTTTGCTGCCTTTGCTCTAAATTGATGAATATATTATCTTTTGTATATTAAAAATATTTGGTACCTTGTCAACTCATAATATATATGCATTCATCAAAAAAATTTTTGACCTAGAGGAACTTTTTTTACCTTGTTGTGATCTTCCAAATCCACAGAGTTCCCTATTTGTGAGAAACGTGTTCATATGGTGTATGTAATAGAATGTTATATTCTTTATGTAATTTTATTAAAGGGTTTGCTATCGGCATGCCAGTGTGTGAATTTGATATGGTTAAAGATCCAGAAGTACAGGACTTCCGAAGAAATATTCTGAATGTTTGTAAAGAAGCTGTGGATCTTAGGGATCTCAATTCACCTCATAGTAGAGCAATGTATGTCTATCCTCCAAATGTAGAATCTTCACCAGAATTGCCAAAGCACATATATAATAAATTAGATAAAGGTAAGAAAATGACCAGTCTACTCTAATCATCACTATCATGCAGTCTTCTCCCCGTACCTATACTTTTGTATAGTCTTTTTTTTTTTTTTTCAGCTAGATAGTAAGCTTCTTGAAGACGGGGACTGCTTGTACTGACAAGATACAGTTGAATGCTAAATACAAATTGTGTACCATCAATATTTATTTATTGAATTTTTGTATGAATATGGTACTGATTTCTTGGTAAATTGTAAAACAGAAGCACTATGAGTTTGAAATTTACTGTTTTTTAGGATTAGAATTAGAGCTGATTATCTTTTCATAAATAAAAACAAGTGCAAATAGAAACATTTTATCAAACTTTGGAAAAACTTTATACATTCTTATTATATGTCATAAATATACCCAAAAAAGTAATTTTCTTAACTATTAAATGCAGTAATTAATTCTGATCATGAGTGATAATATGTAGGTAGATTTTTGACATTTAATATATCAGTTTCTAGAATTAAGTGAACAAGAAACTATATAAATGATACTGTATTCAAAATACATGTCATTGTATCAGATAAATGTATTTTCAAGGTAAAGTGAAAGTATCAATTTGAGTTAACTCACACACACTATTAAATATAAAATTCTGTTAGTAGAACAAGATATCTTTTAACTATTTTATCCATATTTTTCAAAGTAGTTGAAGGCAATGTAAGATCTTTCAGAATTATTTGCTATTCTAACATACTTTTCTGAGTGAAATGCTCTTTTCATCTTCCCCATCATTTTTTGTGAAAAATGGTCAACATATAGATTAGCTGAAAGATGTGTATTGTGAACACCCAAGCCTCTCCAAACAGTTCAGCCTTCCTATTTTCTCCATCTTTCTCTTTTCTTTTTTTTTTTTTTTTTTTTTTTTTTTGGCCTTCTGGCTTAATTAATCTCAAAAGGAGAAAATTAGATAATCCATATCCTGTCCCTTCTTAATTTTCCTACCTTTCCTCCCTCACATTTTCTGTCGTTCTAATTCAACACCTTTAAGCCTCCAGTGGTTCTTTCTTTACTTCCCATAGTTACAATAACTCTTTCACCCTAGGCACTGTTGAACCTTTGATACCGTCATGAATCACTGTTCATAGTGCTGGTACCCGTGAAGTATGTCATGCAGTTTAGAATGGAAATTAGCTGGGTCTCGTACTTACGACCCGCTTACCACTGTCTTGTGTGCTGATTTGGGAATGGTCTGGCAGCCCGCTCAGATATAAACATTTTCTCTTTCTACCTGGTATTTACCTAGATTTAATTAGGCTGATTAAAGAGCATTTCTGATATGGGTAGAGTAATGATAGTGCACATGTTGAAATTTCTCTCTTTGAAAAATGAAGTAGATGTGGTGATTGCGTCTAATAATGTTTTCCTGTTATAGGGCAAATAATAGTGGTGATTTGGGTTATAGTTTCTCCAAATAATGACAAGCAGAAATATACTCTGAAAATCAACCATGACTGTGTGCCAGAACAAGTAATTGCTGAAGCAATCAGGAAAAAAACTCGAAGTATGTTGCTATCCTCTGAACAACTAAAACTCTGTGTTTTAGAATATCAGGGCAAGTATATTTTAAAAGTGTGTGGATGTGATGAATACTTCCTAGAAAAATATCCTCTGAGTCAGTATAAGGTGAGTAACAAGTTTCAAAATACTAATTTTTAATTTAAAAAGTAATCACATTGAGGATGAGTATTTTTAGAATATGCTTTTTGATAAGTAATATTAGTAAATAGCATTTGTAAGTTTATTCTTTTAATTCTGTAATTAATTCATTGAGAGGCTGAAAATGTTGGCAGATACTCCAGCTCCCAAATGCAGGTATTTCATGGGGTTTCTTGGTGGTGGTGGTGGTGGTTGTCTTTTGAGACAGGATCTTGCTGTGTCTCAGGCTGGAATGCAGTGGCATGATAATGGCTCACTGTGGCATCAACCTCCTAGGCTCAAGCAATTATCCCACCTCAGCCTCCTATGTGTCTGGGACCATGTGCATGTTCCACTATGCCCTAATTTTTTTCTTTTTTTTTTAGACAAAGTCTCACTGTATTGCCCAGGCTGGTCTCAAATTCTACACTCAATTGATCCTCCCACCTCAGCCTCCCTGCAGTGCTGGGATTACAGGCATGAGCCATTACACCCAGCCTATTTCATGACTTTTATCCCCTCCAACCAATGACTCTGGAATGGAATTAAAATAGATATTTCAAAAAACTCATGACCTACTGTTAAGATATACTCTTGGTACTTGCCTGCTCTTTTTCTATTTATTAAATACCTATAAGAAGCAACTACGTTTGTGCCAAGCATATGTTGAGTACTGATTTACAATACCAAATAAAACCTGGTCCTGGCCTTCACGCTACTTACTGTTTAGTGGGGCTTATGGGTAAGAAAATAATATGTATAAGGCTGGGCGCGGCGGCTTACGCCTATAATCCCAGCACTTTGGGAGGCCGAGGCAGGCAGATCATGAGGTCAACAGATCGAGACCATCCTGGCCAACATGGTGAAACCCCGTCTCTACTAAAAATACAAAAAATTTAGCTGGGTGCTGTGGCGTGCACCTGTAGTCCCAGCTACTTGGGAGGCTGAGGCAGGAGAATTGATCGAACCTGAGGGGCGGAGGTTGCAGTGAGCCAGGATTGCACCACTGCACTCCAGCCTGGCGCCTGGTGATGGAGTGAGACTGTCTCAAGAAAAAGAAAATAATATGTATATAGTAACATTTATATTAAAAATCTCAGCCAGGCATGATGGCTCAGTCCTGTAATCCCAGCACTTCTGTAATCCCAGCACTTTGGGATGCCGAGGCCGGAAGATCACGAAATCAGGAGTTCAAAACCACCTTGGCCAATATGGTGAAACCCCTTCTCTTCTAAAAATGCAAAAATTAGCCGGGTGTGGCAGCACATGCTGTAGTCCAGCTACTCGGGAGGCTGAGGCAGGAGAATCACTTGAACCCAGGAGGTAGAAGTTGCAGTGAGCCGAGATCACACCGCTGCACTCCAGCCTGCGAGACTGTCTAAACAACAACAACTCTATGCTAACTACTATTTCAAAATTCGGACCAGTGTATTGTAATATTTTTTGTAAATATATATCCATAATGTTACTGGTCTCCTCTATTTGTGGTTTTTTGTTTTAATTTTAACGAAACTAAAGTTTCTAAAGAAATGTTGGACAGAAAAACAAGTAACTAGCAGCAGCCTTTGGGTGGACGTCAGCGTGAGTCAGTAGATTGAATGACAGAGGCGTCCTGCGCAACGCTGCTTTTCTGTTATCAAATACGGCGTTTCTGCAGTGAGTGTCCTGTGATCCTTTTGTTTGTTTGTTTTAGTTAAGGCTAGAACTATACTGTGAAAAGTTGACCTTAATTTTTTCTTTCATGCAGTTTGTTTTCAGAAGTTTTTGGTTGATCTTGTGCTTCAACCTAAATCCTAAATGTTAGTATTTCAAATGTTGTAGCAACTACTAATAAATGTGGTCCATAATGTTTAATTTTTTTATCACCTTTGCAGATTAATACGTAAATTCTCCTAATACCTGTTGCTTCTAAAATGAAAAATCTTACAGGAAATGGCTGCCTCTCTTAATCTCTTACAGTATATAAGAAGCTGTATAATGCTTGGGAGGATGCCCAATTTGATGTTGATGGCTAAAGAAAGCCTTTATTCTCAACTGCCAATGGACTGTTTTACAATGCCATCTTATTCCAGACGCATTTCCACAGCTACGCCGTATATGAATGGAGAGACATCTACAAAATCCCTTTGGGTTATAAATAGTGCACTCAGAATAAAAATTCTTTGTGCAACCTACGTGAATGTGAATATTCGAGACATTGATAAGGTAAAGTCAAATGCTGATGCTTATTTTATATAAATTATTTTATATAACTTTTTTCTTGAACTATACACTAATCTGTTGACCTATAGTATGTTTTCAGATGGTTAGGGAACACTCAAATCTCCAAATGTAAAAATATGTCATGAATTTTACTTGAGCTTCCATCTTCCTTAGCTATTATACAGCTCATAGTCCTTTGTCAGTAATTCTAATATTCATAATTCTAGCTCTTAAAATAAGTTTTACAAAATTCATTTGGCAGAAAGACCTGAGCCAACCTTAAGTGAGACTTTTTATAATCTTTATTAACCCCACTTAGTATAAATATTCATGTGTCTTATTACAGAAATATTAATGTCTTTTTGAGATACTACTTCAGTAGCTAAGGGTTTTAAGTAAAATTTAGTATGTGTACCAATTTAGCTTTCTAAAATACAGGAAAACTCTGAATTCCATACCTGCCTTAAAGGGATGGTGGGCCTGTATTTACGTTTCCATTATTAGTGCATTATTAGTGGATGAAGGCAGCAAATCATTTTGGTGACAGCTGTACATCACTATTAACTTATTAGATATGTGAAGAAACGGAGAACAAGCTATATCTGAACAAAAATTCCACAGTTTCATATTTGGTTCTATCTAGTGTCTATGTGTGTTTGTGCATGTATGAGGGTATACACTTGTATATACATACTTTTTTCTTTTAGATCTATGTTCGAACAGGTATCTACCATGGAGGAGAACCCTTATGTGACAATGTGAACACTCAGAGAGTACCTTGTTCCAATCCCAGGTAAGGAAGTATAGAGATTTATATTTCCAAAGGTTATATTAGTGTTTTGCAGTGTGATCAATAAAAAATAGTTTATTTTTTAAGACCTAACCTGGGCAACAAAGCAAGACCCCATCTCTACAAAAAGTCTTTCTTAAGAATTAGCTAGGCACAGTGGCACATGCGTGCCTGTAGTCCCAGCCATTAGGGAGACTGTGGCAGGAGAATTGCTTGAACCTGGGAGTTTGAGGCTGCAGTGAGCTGTGGTTGTGGCACTGCATTCCACCTGAGTGACAAAGTGAGACTGATCTCTTAAAAAAAAAAGTATATTTTACATCATTAGTTTTATACAAGCTGTATATTATTAATAAATTACCAGAAATGTGCATATAAACCAGCAAAACTTTGTGTCAGGTGGTTATCAGTCACAAGATTATTTTATTGATTCTGTCTTAAAGTTTTATCAGAATAGTTTCTGATTGTCTCTTCATTGTATCAAAGAGAGAACAAAGTATAGTTACAGTTTTATGCTAATGATGCCCCACATTAGATTTAAAACCTGCCATTGTATTCTTTTCCTATCTCCATCATCATTTATGGCCAGCAACTCCATAACCACACTACTCTGAGGCAGTTTCAAATCACTCCCAAGAACAGATATTTATGGCATTCAAATAAAGGATCTTTGGGAGCAAATTAATTTCTTAGGGGGAGAGGGAGTTACCGGGAACATTTTAAATTATTACTGCCTGGATGTGATGAAGAAATAAAAAGTATTATAATCCAGTAGCTCACTATTCTGTTATTTATTTGCTTCTCTCTATCATTTGGGAATAAGAGTACCCCGAAAGTACTCTTTTTTTTTTTTTTTTTTTGAGACGGAGTTTCGCTCTTGTTACCCAGGCTGGAGTGCAATGGCGCGATCTCGGCTCACCGCAACCTCCGCCTCCTGGGTTCAGGCAATTCTCCTGCCTCAGCCTCCTGAGTAGCTGGGATTACAGGCACGCGCCACCATGCCCAGATAATTTTTTGTATTTTTAGTAGAGACGGGGTTTCACCATGTTGACCAGGATGGTCTCGATCTCTCGACCTCGTGATCCACCCGCCTCGGCCTCCTAAAGTGCTGGGATTACAGGCTTGAGCCACCGCGCCCGGCCTCCGAAAGTACTCTTATTAGTAGCAGTAATGTTGCAAGAGAATTCAAATTGTTATTGGACTTTATAATAAAATAGCAGTAGAGCTAACCAGTGACTGCTTCAGAAGTAAATCTCATAATGAATTTAGACTGAGTTCCAGGAGATTAAGATGTAGTTCTGGTCTTGTTGCTAAAGATGGCCACCCTTACAGAGCCTAGGTAAAGTTCAAAGAGATGATAGCCTCGTGGGCCCCACAGAAGAAAGTTCCTCAGCCTACCTAAACCCATTGTAGGTCAGAAAGGGTATCATCCAGGTCAGAAATGAAATTGTCATAACAACTTCAGGATCTTTTAAAATTCTTGCTAAAACAAGAGTTTATACTCACTCCTACTGTCTGCCTTACACAGATTTGTGGGGTGCTTGTAGGAGGAAAAAAAACAACATTTGAGGAAATAATGGCCAGAATTTTTCCAAATTTGGTAAAAACTATAAACTCATTAATCCGAGGAGTTCAACATGCCCCAAGCAAAGACCCCAAAGTAATAGTGGATAGAATTATCTTAGCTGTTTCAAGTACCAAAAGTTAAACTATCTTTATAAAAGTAAAAGGCCGGGCATGGGACTCACCCCTATAATCCCAGCACTTTGGTAGGCTGAGGCAAATGGATCATTTGAGCCCAGGAGTTCGAGACCACCCTGGGCTTTATAGCATAATACAGTCTCTACCAAAAATACAAAAAAATCAGCCCAGTGTGGTTTTATGTACCTATAGTTCCTGCTACTGAGGAGGGTGAGGTGGGAGGATCACCTGAACCCAGGGAGGTCGAGACTGCAGTGAGCCGTGATCATGCTACTGCACTCCAGTCTTGGGGCAGAGCGAGACCCTGACTCAAAAAAACAGTAAAAGATGAATTCATTTAATAATATGTGATTAAAATGTTGAAATTGTAGTAAAACAGCTATTTAGAAAGGACTACATTTATCTTTTTTTAAGCATTCTGTAGTCTAAAAGGTGAAGTATTTATGGTAGTAGTATTAAAATGTAGGTAAATTTTTAAAACTTTTCCGTGCTTACCAAAACAAAAAAAATCAGAGATAAATGAATATGAAGTTATTAAAAATATAGAAAAGTAGATTTTTAAAATTCTTACTGATATTATTTGTTCCAAATCTGTGCTCCCTTTATGCCAGATAACTTAGATACTTTACGATTTCTCTGTAAATGTTACTGGTATCTCCCAAAATTGGAATCAGTTTGGACTATACACACACAACCATTTTCTAGAAATAAAGAACTCAATTGAGTGAGTGTGTATATGCATGTCTGTGTGTGTGTTGTGTGATGGATGGACTTTAGAAGAAAAGAGAAACGTGCTTTATTTTGTCAGCACAGGGCTGAACAAGTAGATTCATAGGACAGAGCTCTCTTAGAAAGTATATAGAACACTTCTTATTAATTTATGAGCAGTTCTAAACATTTAGGAGTAATAAAAGGTTGGGTACATTTAAGTAGATGTATCTTTAATTTTTCTTTTTTTGTTGTTGTTGTTTTTGTTTTTGGTTTTTTTTTTTTTTTTTTTTTTGATACGGAGTTTCACTCTTGTTACCCAGGCTGGAGTGCACAATCTCGGCTCACCGCAACCTCCGCCTCCTGGGTTCAGGCAATTCTCCTGCCTCAGCCTCCTGGGTAGCTGGGATTACAGGCATGCGCCACCATGCCCATCTAATGTTTTGTATTTTTAGTAGAGACGGCGTTTCACCATGTTGACCAGGATGGTCTTGATCTCTTGACCTTGTGATCCGCCTGCCTCGGCCTCCCAAAGTGCTGGGATTACAGGCTTGAGCCACCGCACCCGGTCTGTTGTTTGTTTTTTGTTTTCTTGAGACAGAGTCTTGCTCTGTTGTCCCAGGCTGGAGTGCACAACATGACCTCAGCTCACTGCAGCCTCCGCCTCAGCCTCCTGCGTAGCTGGGATTACAGGCACCCGCCCCCACGCCTGGCCAATTTTTATATTCTTAGTAGAGATGGGGTGTCGCCATGTTGACCAAGCTGGTTTTGAACTCCTGACCTCAGGTGGTCCGCCGGACTCAGCCTCCCAGAGTGCTGGGATTACAGCTGTGAGCCACTGTGCCCAGTCTAATTTTTCTTAAATCATGGTGGACTTACTAAATCCCACATTTTTCTTTATATATTTCTACAGTTACATTTATTGCCGGGCACAGTAGTATGCACCTGAAGTCCCAGCTACTGAGGAAGCTAAGGACAGCTGAGGCAAGAGGATGGCCAGAGCTGAGAGTTTAAAGCTGTAGTGCACTGCAGTCACGTCTGTGAATAGCCACTGCATTTCAGCCTGGGCACATAGCAAGGCCCTCTCTCTAACATGAAAATAACATTTGTCGTTTATTTTACGTTTAGAATTCTTGCCAAATTTCCCCATTTTAAATGTGTCTTCTTCCTATAAATAGACCATATTTTAAAAATCTTTGTCCATACTTGAGCAATACTAGAATAAGTGGAACCTATCTTACTGATAAGGTTTATTACTTAGTTTGGCTAATTAAAAATAGAATTTTTATACTGTTTTATTGTTGATTAAGAGTAATTTTATTTATAATCAAGATTAGACCAGAATGATAAAGAGGACATTTGAAAAGTTTTTAAAATTACTATCTAATATATGCGCTTTTATCATGGGCCAATTGCTATTCTAATTCCTTTGCTTGTGTTATCTCATTTAATCTTAGGAGACAGTTATCGACCTTGTGAGAGTAGCTGCCATCATTAGTCTTATTTTACAGAGGAGGTAAAAGACAAAGCAAGTGTCACACACTTAGTGAAAAGGGGGAAATCAGTTTTTCTACTCTAGTCTGATTTTGGGGCCCATACTCTTTATCCATTGTTATAACGTTTGTTTTAAATACAAAACTTTATTTTATGTGGTTCTTTACAAATATGATCACCAAAGACAGACATAATTTTACATGTAGCACCTAGTAAATTGAGGGAATTTATCATTAAAATTTGAATGATTTTTTTTATCTTGTTTACTTTTTTACCAATGTTTTATTCTTCCCTTATGAATGTGAAGTTGTATTATCTTTTATAAAATATTCTTAAATTCAAATACTTTATGTATCCATCATTTTATTTGCATACTGATTTATTTAGATTAGTGGGTCCTTTTGGATAAAATTATATTACGTATAAAAGTAAATGTAATAGAAAATCTCATTTTACCTTGTTTAGTTTTCCTTTTCTATTTGACTGTTTATGAGCAAAATTATATAAATATATATAAATAATATATGTTATTTGCAATATATGTTTATATTGTGTATAGTTATAATATAAATATATAATTTTTTTAGTGAAGTATGCACCACAGAAACATAAAAATATACAAATTATGATTGTATATATAGTTTAGTCACAAAGTAAGTACCCATGTGTTCTGTTCTTAACAAATGCATACATTTCTGTGGTTTTATTCCTAGAATTGGAGCTGGGTCACAAGGTATACATATGCTCACTTTTAGTAGATTATGCTTTCCAAATTGGTTGTAACAAATGATACCCCCATAGTCTTAGTGTGTGCGATTTCCCGTTACTGCGTAAGCTTACCACCCCTTGGCATCATTAGTCTTTATAGTGTTAGTCATGCTTAGGTCTAGTGATGTCTCCATGAGATTTTAATTTGCATTTTCTTCGTGACTGACTCTCTTTTCATGTTTATTAACTATTTGAATATGATCTTATCAAATGCCTGTTTCAGTCAATCTCTTGCCTGTTTTTCATTTGGCTTATCTTGTTCTTGGTGATTTGTAGGAGCCATTTATGTACTTTAGATGAAGACTTTTTTGATACATTATTTTTCTTTAAAATTTTACCCAGGTGGAGTGAATGGCTGAATTATGATATATACATTCCTGATCTTCCTCGTGCTGCTCGGCTTTGCCTTTCCATTTGTTCCGTTAAAGGCCGAAAGGGTGCTAAAGAGGTACAGCGTTTCCAAGGAACAATGGCGTTTACCTTTAAACACTCCTGCTGATTATACTACTGATTGAATTTTTCACAAAATGAATATCATTTTATATTTGAGAAAATATTAATAAAACCTATTTTTAAATGTTTAATAAATGCATCATAGAAGAATACTGTGGGAGAGCTTTAGGAATTTATTTATGATGAATGTTTTGAGTTCATATTGATACCACTTTTCGAAATGAAAAGTGACTGTATAAACAGGATTGCATATAAATACCTGTCATGCTTGCTTTGGTTCATGTTTTCTATTTGTAATTAAAGAAAATACATGTAATTTCAAATGGGAAAAAGGAAAGAAAGAATGGGCTTAAACTTTGAAAAATCAATGTGGTTTTTGTTTGTTTGTTTGTTTTTGTTTTTTTAGGTATATTCCTATTATTATAGAGGTGATTGTTGAATTTTCCTTTCTGGGGAAGAAAAGTGTTTTGAAATGTGTTTTGTAATTTAGACTAGTGAATATTTTTCTTTCTTTTTATAAGGAACACTGTCCATTGGCATGGGGAAATATAAACTTGTTTGATTACACAGACACTCTAGTGTCTGGAAAAATGGCTTTGAATCTTTGGCCAGTACCTCATGGATTAGAAGATTTGCTGAACCCTATTGGTGTTACTGGATCAAATCCAAATAAAGTAAGGTTTTTATTATCATAAATTAGATATTTGTATGGCAGTCAAGCCTTCTCGCCTGTGTATATATAATAGCTTTTCTTCCATCTCTTAGGAAACTCCATGCTTAGAGTTGGAGTTTGACTGGTTCAGCAGTGTGGTAAAGTTTCCAGACATGTCAGTGATTGAAGAGCATGCCAATTGGTCTGTATCCCGAGAAGCAGGATTTAGCTATTCCCACGCAGGACTGGTAAGGCAGATCACTGAGTTTATTAAAGTATTAGTCATAATCTGTAGATTTAGGTGCATACTTTCTGTATGGAAAAGGATCCATGTATTTTACTGGCATAGATACTGTGAGCTCTAGGACCAGCATTGCAACAGAATTAAGTTCTCTATATGCTGATATTCTTACCGCAGCTCTGCTTAAAGCCCTAGCCTGCCTTCATTCATTTAACAAATGTTTATTGAATGCGGGCTAAGGCACTAGGTAATAAAATCGGGAACTAAACAGACCTTCATTGAGTATGCAGTCAAATGGTGAAAGTGGACATGATGCAGATAAAGCAGAAGTACAAGATTGCAGTTGACCCCTGAACAACATGGGTCTGAACTACACGGGTCTACTTATATGTGCTTTTTTTCAATAAATATATTGGAAACTTTTTTTAGAGATTTGTGACAATTTGAAAACACTCAGAGGACAAACTGCATAACCTAGAAGTATCAAAAAAATCAAAGTTAGCTATGTCATTAATCCATAAAATATATGTAGATACAAGTCTATTTTATCATTTACAACCATAAAATATACACAAATCTATTATAAAAAGTTAAAATTTATCAAAACGTACACACACACAGACCATGCGTGCCACCAGTCATAGTCAAGAGAAATAAATACAAATATAAAGGTGCGGTACTAAATTATATCTGCATAAAATTCACCGTAGTATGTACTCTACTACTGTAATAATTTCATAGCCACCTCCTGTTGCTGTTGTGGAAGCTGGAATGTTGCAGATATCCACTTAAAAGGCTATATATAGGCTGAGTGTGGTATCTCACACCTGTAAATCTCAGCACTTTGGGAGGCCGAGGCAGATGGATCACCTGAGGTCAGGAGTTTGAGACCAGCCTGGCCAACATAGTGAAACCCCGTCTCTACTAAAAATACAAAAATTAGCTGGGCGTGGTGGCATGCACCTGTAATCCCAGCTACTTGGGAGGCTAAGGCAGGAGAATTGCTTGAACCTGGAAGGTGGAGGTTGTAAGTGAGCCAAGATCACACCATTGCACTCCAGCCTGGTCAACAGAGCAAGAATGTATCTCAAAAACAAAACAACAACAATAAAAAAACGCTATGTAATGTTAATCATCTCTACGGGAGCGCTTTGTCACTTCAGTAAATTGTGTACTGCAGTAAAAAGCAACCTCTCACAGTTCTTGCATGTTTTTCATCATGTTTAGTGCAATACCGTAAACCCTGAATAACGCTCTGAGGCCTGGGTGGAATGCCTCTAGTGATGCTGGAGGTGCTCTCAAGAAGCAGAGAAAAGTCATGACGTTACCAGAAAAAGTTGAATTGCTTGATGCGTACCATATATTGAGGTCTGCAGTTTCCCTTATTTCAGACAGACAATTCATCCTGTAAACAGACAACATAAACTTGTTTTGTTTTTTTTTGTAAGAGATGGGATCTCACTATATGGCCTGGACTGGTCTCAAACTCCTGAGCTCGAGTGATCTTCCCTTCCTACCCTCCCAAAGTACTAGGATTACAGGTGTGAGCCGTCATGCTTGGTCAAAAGACAACATAAATGTCCTGTATCACTACAGTACTATAAATGAATTTTCTCTTCCTTATGATTTTCTTTTTTTTTTTTTTATTGCATTTTAGGTTTTGGGGTACATGTGAAGAACATGCAAAATTGTTGCATAGGTACATGCATGGCAGTGTGATTTGCTGCCTTCCTTATGATTTTCTTAATATTTTCTCTGTCTTACTCTATTTTAAGAATATAGTGTATAGTACATATACAAAGTAAGTGTTAATTAACTGTTTATATTTCTGTTAAGACTTCCAGTCAACAGTAGGCATTTGTAGTTAAGTTTTTGGGGAGTCAAAATGTATACATGGATTTTCAGTTGTACAGGAGACCAGTGCCCTATCCCCAGTATTGTTCAAGGGTCAGCTGTATAAATCATGTTAAGGGCCAGGAAGGACAAAACAATAGTGAGCTAAGAATAACTAACTGAGGATTTGTGTGGAAAGGTAAATATATGTATATGGCGTTCGGGAAAGACCTCTCTTGAGATAGTAACCTTGAAGTTGAGACTCAGGTACAGCCAGATGTCTGAGATATTGTGAGTTTGATTCTAAACCACTGTCCTAAAGTAAAAATCACAATCAAGAGTCACAAATGTTTTGGTTTCCCAGTGCATATAATAGTTGCATTCACATTATACTGTCATCTGTAAAGTATATGATAGCCTATGTCTAACACAACAGTGTATATACTTTAAAAATATTGCTAAGAATGCTAATGATCATCCAAGACTTCAGCAAGTTGTAATCTTTTTGCTGGTGGAGGGTCTTGCCTCAGTGTTGATGGCTGCTGACTCATCAAGCTGGTGGTTGCTGAAGGTTAGAGTGGCTACAGCAATTTCTTAAAATAAAGCAACACTGAAGTTTGCCACATTGATTGATACTTCCTTTCATGAATGATTTCTCTGCAGTGCGTGATGCTATTTGATAGCATTTTACCCTTCTTTCAAATTTGGAGTCACTACACTTACCAGCTGCATTAGCCCCAGACAAGAGTGTCAGCCTGAAGCTTTGATGCCAGGCATTATCTCCCCTTCTCTAGCTGTGCAGGTCCTAGATGGTGTCTTCTCCTATCAGAAGAATGTTTTGTTTACACTGAGAATCTGTTGCTTCGTGTAACCCCTTCATCGTCATCTTGGCCACATCTTCTGGATAACTTGCAGCAGCTTCTATACCAGCCCTTGTTGCTTCACAGCTTCTTTTTTATGCCTCTTTTTTTTTTTTTTTTTTTGAGACGGAGTTTCGCTCTTGTTACCCAGGCTGGAGTGCAATGGCACGATCTCGGCTCACCACAACCTCTGCCTCCTAGGTTCAGGCAATTCTCCTGCCTCAGCCTCCTGAGTAGCTGGGATTACAGGCACGTGCCACCATGCCCAGCTGATTTTTTGTATTTTTAGTAGAGACGGGGTTTCACCATGTTGACCAGGATGGTCTCGATCTCTCGACCTCGTGATCCACCCGCCTCGGCCTCCCAAAGTGCTGGGATTACAAGCTTGAGCCACCGCGCCCCAGCCTTTTTTTATACCTCTTAAACCAACCTGTGCTAGATTCAAACTCTGATGATAGTTTCTTTTGCTGTGCAGAAGCTCTTTAGTTTAATTAGAGCCTATTTTTCTATTTTGGCTTTTGTTGCATTGCTTTTGGTGTTTTAGTCATGAAGTCTCTGTCCATGCCTATGTCTTGAATGGTATTGCCTATATTTTCTAAGGATTTTATGATTTTAGATCTTACATTTAAGTCTTTAATCCATCTTGAGTTAATTTTTATATAAGGTGTAAGGAAGGGGTCCAGTTTCTGCTTTCTGCATATGGCTAGCCACTTTTCCCAGCACCATTTATTAAATAGGGAGTCCTTTCCCCATTGCTTGTTTTTGTGAGGTTTGTCAAAGATCAGATGGTTGTAGAAGTGTGGTGTTATTTCTGGGGCCTCTGTTCTGTTCCATTGGTCTGTATCTCTGTTTTGGTGCCAATATCATGCTGTTTTGATTACTATAGCCTTGTAGTATAGTTTGAAGTCAGGTAACATGATGCCTCCAGCTTTGTTCTTTTGCTTAATGTTGTCTTGGCTATGTGGGCTCTTTTTTGGTTCCATATGAAATTTAAAGTAGTTTTTTTCCAATTTTGTGAAGAAAGTCAGTGTTAGCTTGGTGGGGATAACATTGAATTTATCAATTACTTTGAGCAGTATGGCCATTTTTATGATATTGATTCTTCCTAACCATGAGTATGGAATGTTTTCCCATCTGTTTGTGTCCTCTCTTATTTCCTTGAGCAGTGGTTTATAGTTCTCCTTGAAGAGGTCCTTCACATCCCTTGTTGTATTCCTCGGTATTTTATTCTGTTTGTAGCAATTGTGAATGTGAGTTCACTCAAGATTTGGCTTTTATTGGTGTATAGGAATGCTAGTGTTTTCTGCACATTTATTTTGTATCCTGAGACTTTGCTGAAGTAGCTTATCAGCTTAAGATTTGGGCTGAGATGATGGGGTCTTCTAAATATACAATCATGTCATCTGCAATTTGACTTCCTCTTTTCCTAATTGAGTGCCCTTTATTTCTTTCTCTTGCCTGATTGCCCTGGCCAGAACTTCCGTTGCTATGTTGAATAGGAGTGGTGAGAGAGGGCATCCTTGTTTTGTGCTGGTTTTCAAAAAAAAAAAAAAAAAAAGCTTTTTTTTTTGAAGCTGCTTCATCTCTCTCAGTGTTCATAGAATTTAAAGAGTAATGGCCTTGCTCTGGATTTGGCTTTGACTTAAGAAAACGTTGTGGCTAGTTTGATCCTCTATCTAGACCACTAAGACTTTCTCCATTTCAGCAATAAGGCTGTTTTGTTTTCTTACACTGCGTTCACCGAAGTAGCACTTTTAATTTTCTTCAATAACTTTTCCTTTCCATTCACAACTTGGCTATTTGGCACCAGAGGCCTAGCCTTTGGCCTATATGGCTTTTGACATGCCTTTCTGACTACACTTAATCATTTCTAGTTTTTTATTTGAACCAAGAGAAGAGACGTTCTTCCTTTCACTTGAATGCTTAGTGGCCATTGTAGGGTTATTACTTAGCCTAATTTCACTATGATTGTGTCTCGGGGAATAGGGAGTCCTGAAGGGAGGGAGGAAGATGAGCAGAGGTGGCGGGTGGAGAAGTCAGAACTAACAATATTCGTAACTGAGTTCACCACCTTCAGTGGCTCATGGTTCCCCTAGATGGATCAAAGTAACATCACAGATCATCATAATGTTTAATAATGATGAAAAGTTTGAAATATTGTAACAATTACCAAATTGTGACAGAGACAAAAAATGAGCCCATGCATTTGGAAAAATGGTGCTTTACGTAGGGATGCCACCACAAATCCGTTTGTTAGAAACGCAGTATCAAGTATGATCAAGCAAAGCACAATAACACAGGATATGTCTGCATAAGTATATTGTTAGTTGAGCTTGGAAGCAGAGGAAACAACAGGTCTTCACCATGTTAGCCCAGGTTGCCCAGGAAGGGGTGTATATACGATGGAATTTAAATATTTATCTAGTTGTCTAATCTTGGCCATAGCTTTGGAAATACAATATCACTAGTTTTAAGAACCATTAACTCTCCCGGATTTCTCAAGGGCAAAGGTGTCAATGCCAGGACAAGATGTCTGTGTTCATTGGTGTTTCTTTACCCCAGTTTCCACATATATTACTTTTTCTTTGGCCTTGTTGGCTACAGGTAATCCAGCCAATGAATTTTGGGCCAAGAAGCCTAAAATATGCCTATCCCAGTAACAGTAATGGCAGCACCAGGAGGCAGCCTGGTATATTGCACGTAGGAAGTTTATTGATTTATAGCTTCATTCTCAGTAAGGCGTTCACCACCAATTTTTGTAAACTGAATTATCTTTTTTGCATATATAATTTAAAAGATATGAGTTTCTTTTTTGAGCAGTTCTCTTTGTAAAGAAAAAGCAAATTTGCTTATTTTATAGTGGGATAAAACTCTTTTTCAGTTACAGTTTGTATCTATCGTAAACTTCTGTAAATTTAAGATACGATACGGGATCTTAGTTTTCCTGTATCTTAAATATTTTACTATTTCATCATCCTAGAAATTATTTCATCCATATTCATTATTTCCAACTATGCTAAAAAAGAATAAAATGATGTGAAAATCTAAAAGAAGGATGGAAAAGCTCAGAAGTGGGGCGAAATGCTCAGAGAAATCGTCACTATCACGCCATCCCCCAGTTTTCTTACTGTGTTGCGCAGGGTCTTGCATCATCTTTCCAGAAGTGGAGAAGTCTGCAAACACTGTCTTTGTAATTTTTTGTTTTCTTTTGTTGTTGTTGTTGTTTTTTTCAGGCTTTCCTTGGACACTTGAGAATTCAGAATTTTTCACTTTTCACCCAGAATGATGACAGAGGAAAACTGACAGGAAGATATTTCACAAGCCATTAGATAAATCATAATATGAAGGCAGAGAGATAGTAGCACTCTAGAGCAGAGTTTCTCAGCCTCAGCACTATTGATGTTTTGGACCAAATAATTCTTTGTTGTAGGAGCCGTCCCGTGTGTTTAATCCAGGGTGTTTAGCATCCCTGACCTCTACCCCGCTGCAGGCCAGAGGTGCCGTCCTCCTGAGTGATGGCCGTCAAAAGTCTGCAGGCATCAGCAAAGGTTCCTGGGAGGGCAAGGGGCAGCGTCACCCTGGTTGAGAACCACTACTGCAAACTCTAATCGTGGTGGTGTTTTATAACACCATTTGTTATATAAATGAAATGTCAGGTGGCAATGCCCACACTGTCTCTCAGTTGTCTTAAGTCTTCTCAAACTCAAGATAATGCTGAGTAAAGAATATATTTCTAACGACAAGAAGGAAATTTGTATTCACATGCAGTTAGGCATTCCACCAGAATAACTTCATCACACAATAATTTGTGAAAAGAACTGGAACAACCTCATGTTTTACAACGTTTTTTTCATCTTTTATGATATATATCAAATTTTCTTTTTTTTATTTCCTTGAACTTGTAAATCTACTTTAAAAATTTACTTGATACACTTTTTTTTTTTTTTTTTTTTGAGACTGAGTTTCGCTCTTGTTACCCAGGCTGGAGTGCAATGGCGCGATCTCGGCTCACCGCGACCTCCACCTCCTGGGTTCAGGCAATTCTCCTGCCTCAGCCTCCTGAGTAGCTGGGATTACAGGCACGCGCCACCATGCCCAGCTAATTTTTTGTATTTTTAGTAGAGACGGGGTTTCACCATGTTGTCCAGGTTGGTCTCGATCTCTCGACCTTGTGATCCACCCGCCTCGGCCTCCCAAAGTGCTGGGATTACAGGCTTGAGCCACCGCACCCGGCCCACTTGATACACTTTTTAAATGGACAGATGCTGAAGGTAGCTGTGTACACAGATGTGACTATAAGGAAAAAAATGATGCAGAAATAAAATAACTCTTTGAGTTGATTATTCTAATTGATATTTACAGCTATAAAAACAGAAATGTTTTGCAGTTATAGAGGAAAAAAGATGGCTTCTTCAACATTTGTGAGCTGTCAGAGTTTTTGAAAGTATTGCATTTTGGCAGTGTAGTTTCTAGTTTGACAATGCTATATTTATCTTCAAAACCAGGAAAATGTGGATAAAAATTTAGTTTTATAATATTTGAATTCTTCTTAAAATGATTAATAAAATTGTTTTCCCCATGACTTTATTCTTCTGTAATTATTTTTCATTTAAAATGTAAACAAATAAAAATCAATTAACAGTAGTGACTTCTTTTCCTGATAAATGAGGACTGAGCATGTATTCTCTCTTTCCTGGACCTTTGCAATAACCTCCTAACTGGGCTCCCTCCCTCCACAGAGCAGCCATAATAATCTTTATGAAATACAAATCAAGTCGTGGTATGTATTTATTTTATTTTATTTTATTTTATTTTATTTTTTGAGATGGAGTTTTGCTGTTGTTACCCAGGCTGGAGTGCAATGGCGCGATCTCGACTCACCACAACCTCCGCCTCCTGGGTTCAGGCAATTCTTCTGCCTCAGCCTCCTGAGTAGCTGGGATTACAGGCACGCGCCACCATGCCCAGCTAGTTTTTTGTATTTTTAGTAGAGACGGGGTTTCACCATGTTGACCACGTTGGTCTCGATCTCTTGACCTCGTGATCTACCCGCCTCGGCCTCCCAAAGTGCTGGGATTACAGGCTTGAGCCACCGCGCCCGGCCGGTATTTATTTATTTAAATAGCTTTCAATAAAAATAAAATCACAACTTTATACCCTGGCCTGCAAGTTTTACATGGCCTGAATTCAGCTTGCATTTCTTCTTTCTCTTATCTGTTGCCCGTCAGCCTCACTGGCTTTCTTCCTTCACAGCAAAGCAGTTCTTTGGGGTGGTGTGGGGAGACGACGGCTTGCAGTGTTTCCTCCTTCAGCAGTAGTCTTTCCTAATCCTAGTGTGCATGGTTCTTTCATGTTACTTGAATCACAAATATTACGTTCTCAGTCATTCTCTGTTACATCATCCAGAGTACATTATATCCATTTTCCAATTTTTTTTTACTTGCATATTTGACTTCCCACTATAACAGAGGTTCTGTTAGTGCAGGGTCTTTTACTCTTTTGTAATCCCAACAGCAAGAACAAAACAAGGTACATAGTACATACTTCATAAATATTTGCTGAACAGAGATGTGCCAGTGATATTTCTTCATGCTGTTGAATAAATTGACAGCATAGAAACATACAAATCAAGTGACACGGATGGCTGCTTTCATTTTTAGCCGTTAGAAATATATGTAACCCATCGTAAGGGAGTTATATTCGTTTCACATAATACATCAATATGTACTCATTATTCAGTATACAGTTAATAGATCTATATTTGAAGAGAATAAACATTGCTTGGAATTATTTTTAAAATGTTAGTTTTAGTTTTGTAATATTCAGGATACAGTGTTTTTTGTTTTTTTTTTTTTTTTTTTTTTGAGACGGAGTTTCGCTCTCGTTACCCAGGCTGGAGTGCAATGGCGCGATCTCGGCTCGCCGCAACCTCCGCCTCCTGGGTTCAGGCAATTCTCCTGTCTCAGCCTCCGGAGTAGCTGGGATTACAGGTAAGCACCACCATGCCCAGCTAATTTTTTGCACTTTAGTAGAGACGGGGTTTCACCATGTTGACCAGGATGGTCTTGATCTCTTGACCTCGTGATCCACCCGCCTCGGCCTCCCAAAGTGCTGGGATTACAGGCTTGAGCCACCGCGCCCGGCTCAGGATACAGTGTTTTAATGGGAGTGTTTCTTCATTCTTTTTTCCTTACTGATTTTTACTTTTTAAATTTGAAATCCTTGCAGTGATCATAAGGATATGTTCAAGCAAAGAACATGAAATCGTTTACATTTTATTTTAGCGTTTCTTACTCTCTTATATCAGAAACATTCACAGTTAACAAGATCCTCATCCAGAGGAAGAGTAAAATGTATGTTCACTACCATCCTCTAGTATCCTAATCTGGCCTTCTTGCTGGCTAACTTAAGCAGTTACAATTCTGTGATTGGTGTAATATTAACCAAATAAATTACTGAATTTGCTCCATAAATATTATATCTTAAACTGATTGTTTCCTGTCTCTGAAAATGAAAGTCTTACCATGAGAATAAATTATTTTATAACATTTAATTAGCAATGTAAAGTTTATTGAAAATTTATTTCCTTTTTTTGTAAATTGCTTGTGAATCCAGAGGGGAAAAATACGACAGAGAAAACTATATGAGATATTATTTTATTTTACAGAGTAACAGGCTAGCTAGAGACAATGAATTGAGGGAAAATGACAAAGAACAGCTCAGAGCAATTTGTACACGGGATCCTCTCTCTGAAATCACTGAGCAGGAGAAAGATTTTCTGTGGAGCCACCGGTAAGTGCTAAAATGGGGATTCTCTGTTTCTTTATTGCAGAGAAAAGAACTGAGCTACATTTTTACCATACCTATTAAAGTAAATAAACCAGAATTTACATTATTTTTAAATTATAAACATTGCCTTTTAAAAAACAATGGCTGTAAGTTGATGTTTGTAGAAATCATGCTGCATTGGTAGTTGGCGCGTTAAATGCTTTTTCTTACTCTGCATTCCTGATAGGACTTTCTTTAGGACTATTTTAAATACCCAAGTAGTTTTAGATCAATTTAGATGTGATTTAGTTGGTCTAGGTATTATAATTTGTAGGGGTTCTCTTTCATTTTTCTTATGTTCCTTCAAAGTAATAGTATAATGCCTTATTTTCATTTATGAAGAAATATCCTGCTATTGGTGATACTGGTATATTTAAATAAAGCAGCTGTGGTACGTTTCTTCAGAAGGTCCATTAAGACCTGAGTTTTGTCCGTTAACAGTAAAGGTGGTGACTGTGATGCATTCATGTTGCCTAAGTAGGTGAAAAGTACGAGCTACATGAAGAAGGGTACAACATATATTCATAATTTTTCTTAACTGTTAACTAAATTTAAGTACTTCTAATCATTTTTTTCTTTTGTGTTATTGCTATTGTAACTGTTGCCTAAGTATATATGTAAATATATTTCCAACTATAGTGTTAAACACTGATGTCTTTTGAATTTTAAAAAGGATGGTAATGGTAAAAAGTTTGGAACTTCTTAAAGACTGCATATTGAGTAGACATATAAACCTTTTGAGTAGCATGCAAGAATGTTTATTTTGTTTCGTTTCTCCCACACAGACACTATTGTGTAACTATCCCTGAAATTCTACCCAAATTGCTTCTGTCTGTTAAATGGAATTCTAGAGATGAAGTTGCCCAGGTAAATATATGTTTGAGATTACTAGATAACAGGTTGTACAAAATCAGTATGTCACTTAAATTGTTTTCTCAGAAAGTCTGCATAAACAAATGAAATAGACTAATAATAATATCGTGTAGAAAAAATACCCTTAACATTATTTCCACAGATAAAACAAATTAGAACTGCAGACTCTAAGGAGATTATTTATCTAAACTAATTTTAAAATCAGAAGTTAAGCCAGTGTTTTAGACAGCTCATTCACAACTATCTTTGCCTTTTTACTATGTTTTATTGCCTTTCTCATACACAGATGTACTGCTTGGTAAAAGACTGGCCTCCAATCAAGCCTGAACAGGCTATGGAACTTCTGGACTGTAATTACCCAGATCCTATGGTTCGAGGTTTTGCTGTTCGGTGCTTGGAAAAATATTTAACAGATGACAAACTTTCTCAGTATTTAATTCAGCTAGTACAGGTAAAATAATATAAAATAGTAAATAACGTTTAACTAAAATAATTTATTCCAGATCCAGGCAACTTCCAAAAACACTACTGCACTAACTAGTTTTATTCTTTAAAAAAAAAAGTTATTACCAGGAATATCCACTTTCCTTCTGAAAAAATTTTCTTTAGATCGGCCACACAGAAACTGACCCTGATTGGTTTTTTGTTTTTTTAAATCACCTAGGTCCTAAAATATGAACAATATTTGGATAACTTGCTTGTGAGATTTTTACTGAAGAAAGCATTGACTAATCAAAGGATTGGGCACTTTTTCTTTTGGCATTTAAAGTAAGTCTGATTGTTTCCCCATTAAGTTGTTAAGGTACTTACTACTTGCTTTCTTAATAGATTTATAAATACCTATTACTTTCATACTTTTGTTTTTGTTTGACTGGAAGAGTTTTCCATACTAGAAGTATTTTGTACCAGTGATGAGCTTTGCTTCAACTTTTGCTCTTTGAAATTTAAAAAGTAATAAATTCAAAACTAAATTTTAATTATGAATGAGAGCTGAAATATTTTCAAAGATTTTTGTTCTACTTAAGTAAAATTTCCTAGGTCCAGATGAATATTGCCATAGTTTACACTGTGTGTGTGGATTAAAATATCGCAAAAAAAGAAAAGAAAAAAATTTTTACCTTGAAATTCAGAACAATAATATCAAACTCCCATGGTTCTTACAAAAAAAGCTAATTAAGAATAAAAAATGTAGAATGTGACATATCTGGTAGTGAAAAGTTACAGGTCTTAAACTGTATAATTTTTCATAAATTTAGAAACAAATTTATATCTAATATGATATTTTAAGTGTTAAAATGTTTAAATGGAACCCGGAAGTTAAGTTGAAAACAAGAAGCATGGACATGTGTGTCAGAAAAGTCAGATGGCATCCACTGAGCACTTTTCCCCTTCCCACTTCATTTGACTATTTTTGTGCCCAATTTCCTTCTTCCATGTTTTTATATCTCATGCTGAGATTAGTCAATGAAAAGTTGTTGAAATAAACCTAAAAACTAGATGTTTATTAAATCATATATTCAGGAACTGCCTGAAACTCATGATGGTTTTGCTTCTAAATTACAAGTTTTGAATCATTTTATTAGTAGTATGATTGTAACATTTATTGGATTTCGAAAATGAGTGTTTAAATTTTTTAGCAAAGATTATTTGTGTACTCATTTAAGACTACATATATATATATATATAATTTTACGTTGCACGATTCTTTAGATCTGAGATGCACAATAAAACAGTTAGCCAGAGGTTCGGCCTGCTCCTGGAGTCCTATTGCCGTGCCTGTGGGATGTATCTGAAGCACCTGAACAGGCAAGTCGAGGCGATGGAGAAGCTTATCAACCTGACTGACATCCTCAAGCAGGAGAAGAAGGATGAAACACAAAAGGTGTGTGACTCTTTATTCATAGCTAGTCTCTTTTCATTGCTTTGGGGCAGAGTTGTGGAGAAGCCCAGTGTCTGTGTAGATCATGGTGCCTGGAATCAAGCAGAGTAGGATTTGGAACCAAGTTCCACTGCCTCTCAGCTGTGTAGTGTTAGACACTACATCCTTATTTCCTTATTCTTATTCTCATTTCCTTATTCTGTCATTTACCCTGAAAATGAGTGGAAAGAAGTTAATTTTTACATTGCCAAGGTCAAAATGGATTTCAAGTCACTCGGTAACTGTGTCACACACTCTGGTCAGCTGCAGCCTAGCCTAGTATAACTAAGGAGTGGGAAATACAACACACACTTTTTTTTGAGGCAGGGTCTTGCTGCTCTGCCCAGCCTGGAATGCAGTGGCACAGTTGTGGCTCACTGCAGCCTGAACCTCCTGGGTTCAAGTCATCCTCCCACCTCATCCTACTGAGTAGCTGGGACTCTAGGAGCAGGCCACCACTCCCAACTAATTTTTGTATTTTATGTAGATACAGGGTTTTGCCTCGTTGCCCAGACTGGTCTCTAACTCCTGGGCTTGAGTGATCTACCCGCCTCAGCCTCCCAAAGTGCTGGGATTACAGGTGTGAGCCACTATGCCTAGTCGAGTGTAAATTTGTTTATGACCTTTTACTACACCCTATTCTTTATTCAGTGCAATCCACCACATCCTAATTCACCACTTCTTACACTAAAAAGGAAGCTTGTTCCTCACCTCTAGCGAAATGAAAAAAAAAAAATCATTTATTATTATTGAGTCCTTAAAGGACAGAGAATGTAAATTAGCAGTACTGAATGAATTTTTCCAACATCTCCATTGCTAGTACTTGAAGGAAAGAAAATTTAAACGAAAGTTGCTGTAGTAATGTAAATGTCATACAGTGTGTGAGTTGGTTTTATTGAAGTGTGATATATAACTTCAAATACAGGATGTTAGAAAATAATTGTACTCTTTCTCATACTGGAATTTATGGTCAAGAAGGGACTAGACTTCCCTGGAAGAACAGCATGTATTGCATTTATATACCGTAATTGAGCTAAGAAAAAAGAAACTACATTTTAGATACATTTGTAAAGACAGATGTTCCTCAACTTATAATAGGGTTATATCCTGATAAACGTAAGTTGAAAATATCTTAAAGGCAAATGGGTGTTTTGTAGACTTGATGGGATGCAAAAAATACAAAACACAATATCCAGAACTGCTGGCCACACAGTACAGTGTGGAGTACTGGTTGTTTACCCTCGTGATTACGTGGCTGGCTGGGAGCTGTGGCTCGCTGCTGCCACCCAGCATCTCAGGAAAACACTGTGTTACATATCACTTGCCCAGGAAGAGATAAAAGTTCAGAATTGAAGTATACTTCAATACTGAATGCATGTTGCTTTTAAAACATCATAAAGTTGAAAAGTCCTAAGTCAGGCCACTGTAAGTTGGAGACCACCTGTAGAGACATTTCTTCTAAGCTGAGTTTTTATATTACAAATTGGCTATGATACAGTGGATTAATTAGGAACATGAAGTTCATTACTCAGGTCATTATTGACTTAAATGAGATTCTGATAGGGAACTAGAATTACAGTCATAGAAACAAGAGCAGTTCCTTTGAGTGGTTTTGTGTTTTGTCATAAGTGAGTGATAAAATACGTGAAGCACTGTGCTAACATTAGAACTGCCAGTTATAGAAAAAGAGGTACCTCTGGCCAGGCACGGTGGCTCACGCCTGTAATCTCAGCACTGTGGGAGGCCGAGGCAGGCAGATCACCTGAGGCTGGGAGTTCAAGACCAGCCTGACCAACATGGAGAAACCCCATCTCTACTAAAAACACAAAATTAGCTAGGCATGGTGGCACATGCCTGTAATCCCAGCTCCTAGGGAGGCTGAAGCAGGAGAATCACTTGAACCTGGGAGGTGGAGGTTGCGGTGAACCGAGATCGCACCACTGCACTCCAGCCTGGGCGACTAGCGAAACACTGTCTCAAAAAAAAAGCCTTTACATGAACAAGAGCTATCTAGACAGTAATTACTAGGTTTTCTAACCATTCATTTATGTATAACAAGAAGAAAAAAACTTTATTATTTAAATTCCAGCATGAAAATTAATTTATTATGAATCCCTAGCTTCTAACCACTTTTCCATCCCTACTACATTTTACATTCTCAATAGGTGTAGGCTTCCTCAAATAAAATGCCAACTATTGTGTGATAGCTCAGCAGTCTGGGCTCTGGTTTGAATTGAATGAAAAAGGATATTGCTTTGTAGCCACTTACTAAAACCTGAATATAGCACAAGGCTCCAGGTAACAAATGTTTTTGCAAGTTCCTTTCCCAGCCATTTATTTTAGCCTCTCTAGACCACTTCTACCCAACAAAAAGAGTATGAATGTGTCTTCTTCAAAGTCTAAAAGCAAGATGATTAAGCAAAAATAACATGATCTTCATTTTTTCCTCTAGAACACAGATCAGCAAATTTTCCTAAAGGGCCAGATAGTAACTGTTTTAGACTTTGCAGGCTCTTGCGGTCTCTGTCTTAAGTATTCAACTCTGCTATTGTGTAAAAGCAGGCAATATGTAATGAATGGGTGTTGCTGTATTCTAATACAGCTTGAGTTTAAAAACTGACAGCTGAGCTGCAGGCCACAGTTGACTAGCCCTGCTCTACAGCCAAAAGCCTGCCACTATTCCAGGCCGACTTCATCTTCGTACAGGAAGGTGCCCCGTGCTGCCGCCTCGCTCTGCCTCAGTGCTGCAGCTCTGGACGGAACCCTCCTGATTAGAAGGCAGGGGTCTAGGGTGTAGATTCAGGACTGCACAGCATTGCATTGGCTTCTTGTGTGTAGGAGAGATTAGCAGTCAGTTTTACCTTCTCTGAAGTCAGTTTCTTACTGTTACTGTATGCTTTTTTAAAAAATCAGGTACAGATGAAGTTTTTAGTTGAGCAAATGAGGCGACCAGATTTCATGGATGCTCTGCAGGGCTTTCTGTCTCCTCTAAACCCTGCTCATCAACTGGGAAATCTCAGGTACTTCCTGGGGGGTTTCACGGATACATTTAAATAAATACCTTTTCTGGATAAAATCTTGAGAGAAGTCAAAATGTCCATTAGAATTAGAATGTTCAGTTTTCTATGCTTCTCTCTCTCATTCTCCTACCCTCAAAATAAGAGTAGCCAGTTGTCTCAAGTTCGGTACTGCCTGTATTCAGAATGAGTTTTTTTTTTTTTTTTGAGACGGAGTTTCGCTCTTGTTACCCAGGCTGGAGTGCAATGGCGCGATCTCGGCTCACCGCAACCTCCGCCGCCTCCTGGGTTCAGGCAATTCTCCTGCCTCAGCCTCCTGAGTAGCTGGGATTACAGGCATACGCCACCATGCCCAGCTAATTTTTTGTATTTTTAGTAGAGACGGGGTTTCACCATGTTGACCAGGATGGTCTCGATCTCTTGACCTCGTGATCCACCCGCCTCAGCCTCCCAAAGTGCTGGGATTACAGGCTTGAGCCACCGCGCCCGGCTCAGAATGAGTTTTTACTACCTAAGTAAGAGAGGTTAAAACCTTCTATGGCAAGAATGATTGGTATCATCGGATAAGAAATGAAAATGTAGTATCTGTAAAACTAATGATGTATTTCTATCTATTTGTTGGAAATTCATATGTAATCATATAATAACTTTTAAAACTTCTAATATTTATTTTTTATACTTCTTAGAAATGAATGCCTAAATAAAAATTGAGAAAGTTCTAAATCTTTGTAACACTTCAAAAAGCTATGTTGTGTCTCTATTTTAAAATAAATGTGAGGGTAAAATAATAATAAAGCAAAGGTGCCTAGTAAAGTTTTTAACTATTTTAAAGGCTTGAAGAGTGTCGAATTATGTCCTCTGCAAAAAGGCCACTGTGGCTGAATTGGGAGAACCCAGACATCATGTCAGAGTTACTGTTTCAGAACAATGAGATCATCTTTAAAAATGGGGATGGTAAGGAAGAGTATTAATGAGCTTGTGATGCATGAATTCAGCTATCTTTTTATACACAGGATATTCATGAACCATGAAAACTATTGAAAGCCATTTAAGGAATACACACACGTGATAAAATATGTAATATTAATCAGATGTCTTAACCTTTGCAATATGCATGTATACTCAATGAGAAGAAAAGAAGTACTAGGTTTAGATCAGAAGTCCTGAAATCAGTTTTTTGTTTTTTCTTTTTCCTGTGCCCTGCCTTCAACCCCCTCCCGTGGACCTGTGTAGAGAAGTGTTGTTGTTTTGGTTGTTGTTTTTTTTTAATCAGTTTCTAATTATCATTTGCTTAGCTGTGTGAGTATCCATTCATTCCATAAATATTCTATGTGCTAGGCCCTGGGATTTTAGCAGTGAACAAAATAGAACCCCTGCCTTCTTGGAGCTTACAGCTTAACAGAGAAAAGAGGCACCTTAAATAAATAATTACAAAAATAAAATTGCAGCATGGTACAAAGAAGAAGGGTAGTCTGCTAAGGAACCATATAAAAGAAGGCACTTACTTCGAGGAAAAGGCTATGGGAGCAGTGAAGGAGGGTTATGGATGAGTTTTCAATAGGAAATGACATTTCAGCAGTGAATTCTGTTGATCCCAGTATTTAATATAGACGTGTTTAAGGATTCAGAAAAATAATTACTATAAACGTTTTAATTAAAGATTTTGTGAGATGCATGCTCACTTACTCTATGTTGTTATTCAAATATGTTTACACAAGGACTTTAGAGATGGATTTAAGAATCAGAATATTGAGAGCCATTTGTAGTGGTGCGTGCTTGTGATCCCAGCTACTCTACAGGATCACTTGAGCCCAGGAGTTTGAGACCAGCCTGGGCAACATAGCAAGACCCCATCTTAAAAAATTATACATAAATTACTTTAAGCTATATAAAGGCTTTGAGTGAACCTATGCACTCATTTATAAATTTTTTAAAAAGAAATTAGAATATTGCTTTCCTATAGTTTCTTCTGAAGAGTACATATAGCTGTATTTATTTGTCTTTCATTTGAAAACCATGTGATGGCGTGATCCCCAAATTTGCATTTGTGGCATTAAATGGTGATACATATTATTTGAATTTCAGATTTACGGCAAGATATGCTAACACTTCAAATTATTCGTATTATGGAAAATATCTGGCAAAATCAAGGTCTTGATCTTCGGTAGGTAAACCAGTAAGGAAACCTGTATGTTGAAAGTTATCCTGAAAAAGTGAACTATTAATAATTATAGAGGCATATAGAGGCATATATCTAAAAAGAAATGCATGCAATAGTAGTTATCCATAGGATTACACTATGGTACTTTGATGTATCCTGCTCTTACTTGACTTAGAATAGCTAATTATATTCAGCTAAGTAAAAAGAGCTCAGAAGCTAATAAAATACTCTGCATCTGCCTCTGGAGTGTCCCATTAGGAGCAAAACAAAGGAAACACACAAGACCCCTGTCTTCATTCAGAAGTTAAGTGTTTAAAAGAAAGTTTCATCATGGAAATTTTCTAAAACTGTATAAATCCTCAAATATTGGAATCAGTTTTGCAGTAAAATTATGCAACCAACTAATCTTAGAGTTTTTACCAGTCTGCGGTTTCTAAAAAACTTTCCACAGTATCAGTATTATCACCCAGTTTTCTGTCATGCTTCCTCATCTCCTAGTCATTGTTGCTTCTAAAATGTTCTTCCTTATCCAGCTTGTCTTTCTGCAAATTCATAGTCATTCGGGCCAAGCTCACCCTCTCTGAAAGTACTTTGGCCTCTAGAGGATATAAGCGTCAAGTCCAGCCATAACAGCAGGGTACATTTAGTAGGAATTATAGGTAACAGCAGATAAGGGCTTATCTGTATGCCTCTTACACAATTTAAGAGTAGCTAGTATACAAAAAATGTATCAGTGACAAATAGTAGTACCCTTGTATGCAAAGAAGAAAGTGGACATTTTAAGTGACCTGCTAAGGCACAAAATTGTCATCAACTTCAAATCCATAACTCCTGATATGTTGCTTAGCCCTGCTGCTTTCCAAAGATGGTTAATGTTGTCTAAATCAAATTGCCTTTTTTGGCGTAATTTCCTGTGTCATGAGAGAGCCCCGTGCCATGTCCCCCAAAGGAATAGACTGTAAAAAAGATTGTAGAGCTAAGGAAGAGTAAAGGTCGTAACTATGTAACCCTAGTAATTACCTTGTTTAATTGTAAATTAGTGACTTTGCAAAAAAGTATCCAAAGTTAAGATGATTAGAAATATTAAGGGTTTTTTAGTCTTATAATATTTTCTGAATTTTTTTAGCTTAAGGAAATGCAAGTAAATCCTTATTTCAAGATTAACTTTAGATTAAAATTATTTAAGTAAAATCATAGCAGCATATTTATTTATACTTGGCAAAACTATAATTCAGACTCGGGTTTATTTTAACTCTGCTTGTTTTTTTAATACCAAGACTTAGAAGACAATTGAATTCTTTATGAGCATGCTCACTAAAAACATCAAAGACGAGAGAATGAGCAGGAATACAACCTTAAGAAATTTCTGTATTTACCAGGTAGAAGAAAAGCTTCTGTAAGAGAAATGGTCAAAAGAAGTAGGGGTACTAGAGGAAGTGATTCACCAACAATTTGTAGGGCCAAGGGCTTCAGGGGGTTTAAAAGAATAAGGTCTATGAAAAAGCACTTGGATTTGGTGACTCATGATTAAGTTTACTCATTAGAGTGGGAGGCATAGAAGCTAGGCTACAAGGAATTCAGGAAGAGCATGAAAGTCAGTGTGGACTGTTTCAGGAGTAGAAGAAGTAAAGGAAAAGTGGAAAGAATGGAGAGAGCTTATGAGAACAGAGCAAGGAAAACCAAACTCTGAGTACCTCCATGTCAGTCTGGATGTTAGGTGCTTTTTTCATTGTCTCTTTAAACCCTCACATCTTTGCACCCTTGACCATATGTCCTGTTTAATTCCCCACGTGAATAAATGGAAGGTACCTCAGAGCATTCGTGCCACATCCCAGGTATCATGAGCGTATCAAAGGAAATCATTTGCGGGATTATCTGAGTTGTGAGCTGAACTAGCTGCTGTTTTGATGGAACATGATTTTTACTTTAAAAATAACTAATAGCCAAGCTATGGTTCTTCAGACATGGGTATTTGGCAGACATTTTCTTGAAAATGAACAATATGTGCCTGTCTCTTTGAAGAAAACAACTGTGATAGTATTTGTTGCCAATGATAAAATTCAAGCTTGCAACAAAAATTTCATTAGAAATTCAAAATTAGAATTTTGAAAATTCTAATTTTTAGTATCGGGCACTGAACCTAACAGAGTCCCTAAACTTAACAGCTTTCTGATGAGATTTTTGGTAATATTAACAATTGCGGTTAAATGGCCATGCAGGATACTGTAAATGGCCGTGCATGATACTGTAAAATCACGAAAGGGCAAAAGATCCATTCAAAGACCATGAAGACATAATCATTTTAATGTAACAGTATGAAAAGTTTATTGATATGGTTTCAGATTCCATTTTGCAACTTGAGAAACTGTATCTTGTCAAGTTTTGGAATAATGTCAAAGAAAAATATCACAATTATCTGAAAAGTCTATTGTAATACTCCTTCTTTTTCTACCTACCTATCTTTCTGAGGCCAGATTTTCTTTATATACTTTAATTAAAACATTGCATTAGCTTGCATACAAAAGCATATATGAGAATCCAGCTGGGTACTATGAAGCCAGACATTAAAAAAATTTTTTTAATGTGAAAGAAGGTCACTCTTCTTACTAAATTTTTTAAATGCATTTTTCGTTTCATGTTATTTATACTAACTTTCGTTTCATGTTATTTATACTAACGTCATGGTTTTTTGCATTTAAATGAATTAGTAAATATTTAAAATTTTTATTTTTCCTGTTTCAGTTTCTAATATCAATAGATGTAATTCACATAACTAAAAGCTTTTTGGGATCCTCAATAATTTCTACAAGTGTAAAGGAGTCCTGAGACAAAAAATCTGAGAACTCCTGCCCTACGGTTTTATTTCCTTGTTAATTAAACATCTTTAAATTCACCTGTATTTTTAAAGTCATAAATGTTTGTAAAATTTTAATTGTCACAATAATTTTTGTAATGCTTTTCTCATAAAAATTCAGTGCTTTCTCAGTTGAAGGTTTTAATAAATGATGACCAGTAACTTTGAGGATTATTCCAGAAGTGTGGTTATCACACCATAAAAAAGAAAATTGGGTAAAGGCAGTAAAGGTCTTACATGACAGATTTGCAAATAAAATACTCACGTTTTAGGCTATTAAAATACTCACTGTTTTAAAATTCCATCATTTAACTGTAAATGTGTTCCTCCTCTTTCAGAATGCTACCTTACGGTTGTCTGTCCATCGGTGACTGTGTGGGGCTTATCGAGGTGGTGCGAAATTCTCACACTATTATGCAAATTCAGTGCAAAGGCGGCCTGAAAGGCGCACTGCAGTTCAACAGCCACACGCTGCACCAGTGGCTCAAAGACAAGAACAAAGGAGAAATGTGAGTGCGTTATTCTTCCTTGCTGTGTCAATCTAAGTTTTTGTTAGATGAGTCTGTCAGTGTTTGTGTATTCCTGAGTTAGACCAGAGAAAACAGTTGTACTTTCTTTGGAAAAAAAATACGCTCAACCTTTGAAATATTTGAGGTTAATGGATTTAAACAGTTATAATTACTTTTAATTTGGTAACATCCTATACATTCATTTTCTTTCTTCTTTTTTTTTTTTTTTTTGAGACGGAGTTTCGCCCTTGTTACCCAGGCTGGAGTGCAATGGCGCGATCTCGGCTCACCGCAACCTCCGCCTCCTGGGCTCAGGCAATTCTCCTGCCTCAGCCTCCTGAGTAGCTGGGATTACAGGCACGTGCCACCATGCCCAGCTAATTTTTTGCACTTTTAGTAGAGACGGGGTTTCACCATGTTGACCAGGATGGTCTCGATCTGTCGACCTCGTGATCCACCCGCCTCGGCCTCCCAAAGTGCTGGGATTACAGGCTTGAGCCACCGCGTCCGGCTGCTTATTCTTTTTAAAACAAATTAACATTGCATATTCAAAATTTTATTTCTAATTCATTGTTAAAATGATTGGAAAAAGTAATTTTAATGACATGGTATTTTTTCACTATGATAAGAATTATTCTTTGGTCAGTGAACATTTGGAAATTTCCTTAGAAACCCATGAAAACTTTACAGTCTCAAAATCTTAGAACATAATGACTTTATTCCCTAATGTCAGTGCTTGTCTTCATTGTTTAAACAGACATGTGCACCCGCTTTTCCCAAGTTGGCCTGAATCACTCTGTATTTCCATACTACTCATGAGGTGTTGATTTCTTCTTTGTAGATATGATGCAGCCATTGATCTGTTTACGCGTTCTTGTGCTGGATATTGTGTAGCTACCTTCATTCTGGGAATTGGAGATCGTCACAATAGTAACATCATGGTGAAAGATGATGGACAAGTAATGGTTTTTCCTCTTTAAAATGTTTTGGTGTTCTTAACGTATTAATTCAAGATGTTTTGTATCTGCATATGTCAAACTGTAACTTAATTTCTTATTTTTGAAAGCTGTTTCATATAGATTTTGGACACTTTTTGGATCACAAGAAGAAAAAATTTGGTTATAAACGAGAACGTGTGCCATTTGTTTTGACACAGGATTTCTTAATAGTGATTAGTAAAGGAGCCCAGGAATGCACAAAGACAAGAGAATTTGAGAGGTGAGCTCAAGAAATTAAAAGCACAAAATAAAGAATTCTGGCTGCTCTATTAGAAACAATCAATATTTTTCAAGCTATTTCAAAATAATAAATGTTGACTGGGTATGGTGGCCCACGCCTGTAATCCCAACTCCTTCGGCGGCCAAGGCGGGGCAATCCCAACTCCTTAGAAGACCAGGCTGGGTAACATAGTAAGAACTCATGTTTGCAAAAAACTAAAAAGTTAGTCAGGCATGGGGCATGCACAGTAGTCCCAGCTACACAGAAGGCTGAGGTGGGAGGATCACTTGAGCCCAGGAGGTTGAGGCTGCAGTGAGTGAGCCGCAGTCACAACACTGTACTCCAACCTGGGCAACAGAGTGAGACCCTGTATCAAAATAAATAAAATAAAATAATAGATGTTCTTTTACAACTTTAGCAAAAACTATTTTTTGTTTTTGTTTTATTTCAATAGCTTCTGGGGTACAAGTGGTTTTTGGTTATATGGATGAATTCAATAGTGGTCAAGTCTGAGATTTCAGCATACCTGTAACCCAAGTAGTGTACATTGTCCTCAAAATGTACTTTCTCTCACTCACTCTTCCTCCCACCCTCTCCTTTCTGAGTCTCCATAGTCCATCATATCACTCCGCACGCCTCTGTTAACCTAGAGCTTAGCTCTCACTTACAAGTGAGAACATACTGTATTTGGTTTTCCATTTCTGGCCTCCAGCTCCATCCCAGTTGCCACAGAAGACATCGTTTCATTCTTTGCTGTGGTGGAGTAGTATTCCATGGTGTATATGTGCATTTTCTTTATCCACTCATTGGTCAGCGGGCACTTAGGTTGGTTTCATATCTTTGCAGTCGTGGATTGTGCTGCAGGCATGTAGATGCCTTTTTGATATAATGACTTCTTTTTTTCTGGGTAGTGGGATTGCTGGACCAAATGGTAGATCTGCTTTACGTCGTTTAAGAAATTTCCGTACTGTTTTCCATAGCAGTTGTACTAATTTACATTCCCACCAGCAGTGTATAAGCCTTCCCTTTTCACCATATCCATGCCAACCTCTGTTGGTTTTTGACTTTTTAATTACAGCCATTATTACAGGGGTAAGGTGGTGTCTCATTGTGGTTTTAATTTGTATTTCCCTGATGATCAATGATTTTCTTTCACGTTTGTTGACCATTTGTTTATCTTCTTTTGAGAACTGTCTATTTATGTCCTTAGTCCACTTTTTTTTTTTTTTTTTTTTTTAAAGACAGTCTCACTGTCATCCAGGCTGGAGTGCAATGAGGCAATCTTGGCCCACTGCAACCTCCGCCTCCTGGGTTCAACTGATTCTCCTGCCTCAGCCTCCAAAGTAGCTGGGACTTCAGGCACATGCCACCACGCATGATTGATTATTATATTTTTGGTAGAGACAGGGTGTTACTGTGTTGGTCAGGCTGGTCTTGAATTCTTGACCTCAGGTGATCCACCTGCCTCAGCCTCTCTAAGTGCTGGGATTACAGGCTTGAACCACTGCACCTGGCCTTAGCCCACTTTTTGATGGGATTATTTGTTTCTTGCTCATTTGAATTCCTTGTAGATTCTGGATATTAGTCCTTTGTTGGATACATAGTTTGCAAATGTTTTCTCCCATTCCATTGGTTGTCTGTTTACTTTGATGATTATTTCTTTTGTTATACAGAGGCTTTTTAGTCTAATTAGGTCTCATTTATTTCATTTGTTTTTGTCGAATTTGCTTTTGGGGTCTTAGTGATTAATTATTTGCCTAGACCAATGTCCAAAAGAATTTTCCCTAGGTTATCTTCTAGAATTTTAATGGTTTTGGTCTTAGATTTAAGTCTTTGATCCATCTTGAGTTGATTTTTGTATAAGGTGAGAAACAGGGATCCAGTTTCATTCTTTTACATTTGGCTAGACAGTTTTCCTAGCACCATTTATTAAACAGAGTGTCCTTCTTCCAATTTATGTTTTTGTATGTCTGAGATCAGCTAGTTGTAAATTTTTGGCCTTATTTCTGGGTTCTCCATTCTGTTTCATTGGTCTGTATGTCTACTTTTATGAATGCCATGCTGTTTTAGTAACTATACTTTTTCAGTATGATTTGAAGTCCAGCAATGTGATGCTTCCAGATTTGTTTTTTGCTTAGTTTTGCTTTGGCTATTCAGGCTCTTTTCGGTGGGTTTTATATTAATTTTAGGATTGTTTTTTCTAACTGTGAAAAATGGTGTTGGCAGTGTTTTGTAGTTCTCCTTGAATAGATTTTTCACCCCCTTGTTTATTTCTAGGTTTTTTGTGTGTGTGTTTGGTAGGTAAAAGGGCTTGTATTCTTCATCTGATTCTCAGCTTGGTCATTGTTGGTATATAGCAGTGCTACTGATTTGTGTACCTTAATTTTGTTACCTGAGACTTTACTGAATTCATTTATCAAATCTAGGAGTAGTCCTTTTTTTTGAGAGACAGAGTCTTGCTCTGTCACCCAAGCTAGAGTGCAGTGGTGCAATCTCGGCTCACCGCAACCTTCACCTCCGGGGTTCAAGTGATTGTCCTGCCTCAGCTTCCCAAGTAGTTGGGACTACAGGCGTGCACCACCACACCCAGCTAATTTTTGTATTTTTTTTTTAGTAGAGATGGGGTTTCACTATGTTGGCCAGGCTGATCTTGAACTCCTGACCTCAGGCAATCTGCCCACCTCAGCCTCCCAAAGTGCTGGGATTACAGGTGTAAGCCACTGCGCCAAGCCTAAATCTAGGAGTCTTTTGGAGAACTCTGAGGTTTTCTTGGTATATGATTATATAATGGTAAACAGCAGTAGGTTGACTTCCTCTTTTCCAGTTTGGATGCCCTGTATTTCTTTCTCTTGCCTGATTGCTCTGGCTAGGACGTCCAGTACTATACTGAGTAGAAATGGTGAAAGTGGGATTCAGGGGGAGTGCTTTCAGCTTTTCCCATTCAGTATGATATTGGCCATGGGTTTGTCATATATATTTTGAGGTAAGTCCCTTCTATGCCTAGTTTGTTGAGTGAAAAACTATTTCAATGTTTTATTTTTTTTATTTACTTGTGTGATGCTGTGAAGGAAATGGAAAAGGAATACAATTTAATTTGTTGAGCTAATTAAGGCCTAAAAATAACCCTTACACTTCATAATACATTAAATGTTTTTATCTACTGAGGTTTAAATAGTCGGACTCCACCTCTATATTGACAAATAATGTATAGTGCTTAATACATTTTTTATTCATACAATTTGAGGAAAGTCAGTCAACTATAATCGCCTTGTTAATTCATAAATTTTTTACCATCTTATGGAATATTTTTAGACTGTATCAGACTTTAAAGTACTTTTTAAAACCTATAAAATTCTGCTTTGTCTGTAACGCAGTCCTGACTCTAGCCTAACCACTATTTAGTATGAACCAATTCATAAATTTTTAAACTCCTGATGTATCAGGCATTGTTGTAGGTGCTGATAATAAACCAGTTTTTAAAAAGTCATTATTCTCATGGAGTTTACGCCCTAGTGGGGTAAAGGGAATCAAAAGATGTTGGCAAGAGAAGTGAGAGAGGGATGCTGTTTTTTATAGCTTTGTCTACGAAAGCCTCTCTGATTGTGTGACATTTGAGCAAAGACCTGAAGGTATTAACCTCATATGCTCCATACTGACCAAACTGTTCTTATTACTCATAGGTTTCAGGAGATGTGTTACAAGGCTTATCTAGCTATTCGACAGCATGCCAATCTCTTCATAAATCTTTTCTCAATGATGCTTGGCTCTGGAATGCCAGAACTACAATCTTTTGATGACATTGCATACATTCGAAAGACCCTAGCCTTAGATAAAACTGAGCAAGAGGCTTTGGAATATTTCATGAAACAAATGAATGACGCACATCATGGTGGCTGGACAACAAAAATGGATTGGATCTTCCACACAATCAAGCAGCACGCACTGAACTGAAAAGACCGAGAAACTGAAAGCTCACTCTCTGGACTCTACACTGCACTGTTGATCACTGTCAGCAGGCAAAGACTGATTGCATAGGAATTGCACAATCTATGAACAGCATTAGAATTTACAACAAGAACAGAAATAAAATACTATATAATTTAAATAATGTAAATGCAAACAGGGTTTGATAGCACTTAAACTAGTTCATTTCAAAATTAAGCTTTAGAATAATGCGCAATTCATGTTATGCCTTAAGTCCAAAAAGGTAAACTTTGAAGATTGTTTGTATCTTTTTTTAAAAAACAAAACAAAACAAAAATCCCCAAAATATATAGAAATGATGGAGAAGGAAAAAGAATGATTTTTTTTTTTTTTTTTGTCTTGCAAATGTTCTATGTTTTGAAATGTGGACATAACAAAGGCTGTTACTGCATTAGGTCTAAGTAAACTGGAGTTTATGTTAAATTATACAAGATTGGGAAAAAATGAACATTTCTTATTTTTTCATTGTAGTTCAATTTATAGTTTGAAGTGGGTTTCTGACTCCCTGTTTAATGAAGAAAAATGCTTGGGGTGGAAGGGACTCGAGATTACACCAGAGACTTTTTCTTTTTAACAAATCAAACCTTTTGGTGATTTGAGGTCTTACTACAGTTTTGGAAGCAGTCACAAATGAGACCTGTTATCAGATGGTGTTTTTGGGTTTGTTTTTGTTTTTGTTTTTGTTTTGTTTTTTTTTCTGGTCAGTATTTAAAGGATCTTATTATTTCCCAGGGAAATTCTGGGCTCCCACAAAGTTAAAAAAAAAAAATCATCGTAGAAAAAGAATGAGCAGGAATAGTTCTTTTTCCAGAATTGTACAGTATTCACCTTAAGTTTTTTTCTCCTTTTGCAATTGAACTGAATACATTTTTCATGCATGTTTTCCAGAAAATAGAAGTATTATTAATGTTATTTAAAAGATTATTTTTTTTATTAAAGGCTATTTATATTATAGAAACTATCATTAATATATATTCTTCATTTCCATGATCTGGCCCATGGTCATGCCTTGTTTTGCACCCAGATTTTTCATTGTTTGTAGCAGCACAGTCAGCTTTCCTCTTGGTCTGTAGATGAGGCTCAGGCACTATCCCGTTTATACCCGTTAACTAGTGTATAACTGCTTAAGGAAGGCATAAATCTTTCCTTTTATTTCTTCACGTGAAGCCCCCATCTTCCATTCTCTTTTATAGTTGAGAATGTCTCAATCATATGAAATTAACACAATTTAGACTATCTTCCTGATTCCTTAAGCCCCTCTTCTGAGGTATACTCATGAATAATACATTAAAATATGGGGGAATAGAAACTATGAACTTTTTACCTATTTAAACTACTTACCCATATCTCCAAAGTAGGACATTAACCCATTTTAAGATCATGTCCCATTCCCTAGTAGTCGGGGCTCACTCTCCAACTTCATTAAATACTATTTGAGCGCAGGACACATTCTTAATCATTTTGAAAAACATTAACCCAAGGTGTAGAGGCTACTGCTAGTCACCATTCTAGAATCTCATCTTTTACTCTGTATTTGAAATGAATGATTAATGTCCTAGGAAATTAGCTTTAGCAGATGTCCAGGTGCCACATAAAAAAGTGCAATCATTATTGACAGTTTTTTAGATTAGGCATGATATTGGAAAACAACTTTATCAAGAGTGAACATTGTATACTCTAGTAAAAACAGCATCACTTTAAAAATATTCATTTATGAAATCGTTACCTATAGTTGAAGTCTTGAGTAGTGAACAAGGGACTCTAAAACAAATACTCTTAATATCTGGTTATCTTAGATTCCCTTAAAGGGCATAATTATTGGAAATTTAGGTACTTCACTAAAGCATGTATATAATATTGCCAACAAGAAAAAATAAATTCGAAGATTAAGGGAACTTGAAATATTTCTGCCAACTGTCTTGGAATAGTTAAACAGAATTTAAACTCTGTTTTCAGCAGGAAACCAGAAAGATCATTTTGCAGTTATAGAAGATTTTGTAACTTATTAAAACTTACTAACATTTTGTGTTGTTTAGACATAAGTAGTAGATACATACTAACATCCCAGTCTTTTCAATATCAGGGATAAATTACAGGAAAACTCAGTAAAATGGTACAAATCTGAAACTTTGATGGTAGAAACTTAAGATTTAACAGAGAACTGTGTTTTACCCGAGTGCCAAAAATGCCTTGAGCCTCCTTGCACAAAACGTACCATTTCTGCATTTTTATAACATCAGTGGAAATAGTTGTTTCCCGTCCTCCTCCCAGGACCTCTCCACCATCAAAACACACAAACCACATGGCCTAGTTCATCATTTACATTTATTTTCTATAGTTATTACAACCAAATTCTATTTGAAGAAGTGTAGACAAATTCTATAAAGACTGTAGATTGTGACCTAACTAAGAAAGACATGAGGGACACAGAGGCAAAGAAGCAAACACTGAATTAAATGCTACATGGGTGACTAAGATCTGTTTCAAGTCAGAGATAATATAGCTACTCCCAGGTGCTTTGCACCAGAGGTCAGGTCCTATCTACAGCTGACTATCCTTGTCCTTGGATATGATATAATTGACTGTTGGCTCTACAGTTTTGTTGGGCCACTTAAGAAATATTTCCTTCAATACTTATTTTGAGAAAAAGTCTAAAGAAAATAATAAAAATAATTTTAAACACATTGTAGTAAGAAATGATTGTTCAAAAATTATGCTTTCACTTTCTACCATATTCTCAGCTATACAAAACCATTTATTTTGAATATTTTTAGACTACTGTTAATTTGAAATCTGTTCATCTTATTGTGGAATTTGTTTTTTGTTTTTTTTTTTTAAAAGATGTCTCTAATTGGATTTTTAAAAGAATGGAATTTGGTTGCTATTTTACAATAGAACCTAAGCTTTTTGTGGTTCTTAATGTCCTATGTAAAACTTAGTGTCAAAGTAATCAACTTTGAGATTTTCCCTTCTTTTCTGCTTTATATTAAAAGCCCATTAGAAAGTGGGAACCCGGTGAAAATATAATGAATTGTAAAATATTTTAATGTGTAACTTTTTCAACTGTGAAACTATTGATTTTTTGATGAAAACAGCTGCTGATAAAGTATTTTGTGTAAAGTGTAGTTCTTACTAATCAGGAAAATGATGACTTGATTAGACTGTATATGCCCTCTTGGATTTTATTTTCAATGGATTGATTTTCACATAGGTAAAACACAGTCCATCTGTATTCTTTTTTCCATCAAAAATCAAGTGATTTGGAAGTATAAAAAAAATTGTGAGCAGCCTATTTGAAAGGCATCATGGAAATTTCACAGCACATGGAGGTTTTTTTTCTTAATGATGTAAATCTGTTTAATTCATATTTCAATCAATAGCCCATGCTTGCCAACTCTGAAGAAATTTAATTTCCAGCAGTATTTTATAGCTAGCCTGTTAACTTTTTCTGAATGTTTAAAGTTCCTCTTTTTTCTACGTCTGCACAAACTGCAGACCTGGGCTGGACCCACATACTCAGTCCACCTTAAGAAATTATTTTGATGTCCAAGACATCACTAAAATACATCAGTTCAAAGATAATATATGGTGTTAATAGATTGTGGTGCTTTCACTATTTAAAGACAACTTTCATACTTCAGCTGCTTTTGAGAAGAGGGGAATGTGAAGGGAGGGGCTGAACAGGGAGGAGCTGTTTGAATGAATTACATTCTTTACATCCAACCTGCTCATTTGGGGCATGTCTAAGAGAAGGCTGAAAGTTGTGAGTATATTATATGCCATACAGGAATTAACTTCATCATGGATGGGATTGTGAAGGCTGAACTGTAAAACAGCACTGACAGCATCCTCAGATGATAATTCTTGGTGACAATACAGCTGGGCTGTTTTTTTAAGATATAAACTCAAAACCATTTCTAATTATTACATTAAAAATTGTAAATATATCTATGTGCCATGGCCTGGGAAGCCTGTTTTCTTTTTTCACAAATATTATTTTTACTCTGAAAAGATTATGGGTTTTAGCTCAAAATATCTGTGGTACTGATAAAATTGGATTGGTAACTCTACCTCAGAAGAAAAACGGGGAAAAAAATAGATGAGTCACAATTCCATACTTCAGGCTCTGATACTACAGAAATTGTGCAGATCACTGAATGTTAGATTTATAAAGTCAGAGTTGGCATGCCTAGTTTTTAACTGTAAGGAAGACCATAAGAAAACACTGGGCTGAAGTTTAATCATTGTTCCAGCCATTTGAAAAAGGCAGTAGTTCGAAGAGGTTCCCAAATTCGGCATTTGAAATTCATTTTCTCTCTTTCTTCATTAGTAGTGAATTTGGTGTGTATATACTTGCACACGATTCTGTGTGTATACACGCTGCTTGCTTAGCCCTAGCCAAGAGGATCTTCTATAAAAGGTGTAAAGAAATACCAAAGTTCTAAAATTCAGAAGAGTTTAGACTTTATTAGTAGTCTCCCAAGTTGGGACATTAGTCTTTAAATAAACGTATTTCATTCGTGTATTACACTAATGGTTTTGCACCTCCTTTTTATGGGAGCAGCCCCAGCTTGATTCAGGTATGTTAATACTCCAGCCCTGGTAGTTGGCATCAAGTGACAGGTGTGAGCCGTAAGATTTTGTGAGTTAGTTTTTACACAACTGCATATTAAAGAGTTTTAGTGGAGAAAAAAGTGAAAGTATTCATTGTGCATACATAGTAGTTAGGTAAATGATTTTTGCTACCAACAGTATACTCCATTCTTCATGTAGGTAAGTACAGAAAAGGATTTCAAATGTATTTTGTTACCCAATTAAAGTCTATGGATCTATCTGCAACCTTATTTAATCTGTCACTACAATAATTCTGTGGTTATGCTAAGAACCATGTATATTTTAGGTATTATGATTCTTGTCAATTTTTCTAGGTTAGCAAGGAGGCAGAAAACCTTCATTGTTTCATATTAAAATATAATTAGACCAAACAATTCTAGTATGAATTTCCAAAATTGTGATCTATTTCATTTTTATTTTATCTTGTTTTTGTTTCATTTTTAAAAGTCCCTTGTTCAATTGAGTTTATGTTCCAAAGAGCAGCTGGAGAACTCGGCCTTCATCTGATTTCGGAAATGTTTTTGGCTCTGGAACCCGAGTTTCAAATGAAGTTAATGGTTTCAGTGTGATTTAGTCCTCAGACCAAACTGGGTTGAGTAAAATCTAAAAGAATATACGCTCTTGGAGTGTACCATTTTAATACCGTGGGGAATGTGGCACTGCCAGAAGACGACTAACGTCAGATGTTCACTTGGAAGCTTTAACAATCCAAGCCACCCTTTTCCGCCCCACTGATTGTAACAAGTTTATCTCTCTATATTTTGTCATTCAGTGAATCGAAGTCCTGTGGTATACTGCATTCATTAGTGGAAAAATGTTTTTAATGTCCTTTTAATAATGGCCCAAAAAGCATTTGACACAACAAGATGCATGTGTTATTATATTGAGAATACAGAATAATAACAGTATCACTACATTTGAGACCTCTTCCCCGTCTTGCTGTTCTAGCAAGAAGTTTGGCCTGTGGCTGCACTTACTGTCTGTGCTCATCAGAAACTCTCAATGTCTGCTTTTCCTTCACTCTGCAGTCTGTAACATCATGCTGTTTATTAAAAAAAAAAAAATTACTTTGACTTGTGTGCAAACAATCCTCAGTGTACTATATAAGCAAAAAACGGTGATAATTCTCTTTTGCCATTCCTTTCAAAAAGCAAGTCAGTGTTGCTAATAATCAAAATTTAGCTGAATTTGAGTTCTTTTCAGTAATGACTAAGAATACTTGATTGAAAATCTGAAGCTATTCTACCTTAAAATTAGCCAACTTTTCTGCCCCGGTAAAGTGATGAATATTAGAGAAATGTATGTTTAAACATTACTTCCTTTAAGCATAAAGAATTAAATGCTTGCATTTTAAGCAGAAATATATGTATATACATATATGTATGCATGTATGTGTGTATATGTGATAGGTAAGTGGACTTTTTTCCAAGTCATTGGAAGATCAGAACCCAGAAGTGAAGGTTAAGCTAGAAGCCAACTGGTTTTGCTTTCAGTTATCATAAACGTTGCAAAAGGTAAGGGTGGGCTTTACTTTGACCAATAATACACATAGGCATTAACAACTTAGTATTTCTGAGCAATAAAGCAAATGATTATGTAAGTTTTAGTTATTTGCCAAATTGTTTAAATAACTTTGAATTGACTTTGTTCTCCAGGGATACCTCTCTTTGCTGAAATGAATCAGGTAGCTCCTATCTAAAAGGAAAACTGGTAACTGAAACACACACTTTACATCTTAAATTAGCAATTTTGTATTTGTTAGGGGGGAAAAAAAAATCCCAATAATTGCATACTGTTAGGCAGAAGTCAAACCTACAAAGAAATGGAATAGAGATGCACCCTTAAGGAAACAATAGAATCGTGATTGAAATGTGCATGCATATAAAATGTTCACGTGTACATAGATATTTTATTTCAGAGAAGTCTCCAGTATACAAAATAGTTTACCACAGCCTTTGAAAAAGCAGGTTGTGGGCCTTATCACATTTAACCAAGAGAATTGGGGTGGGGGCGGGGAAACTGAACTGCAGCTCCCTGTCCCAGCAGCCTCTGTACCAGCTGTCTGTGAAAAGTGCCAAGGCTCACCGAATGTCACCACTTAGCAGATTTTTAAATAAATGATCTAAAATTTTTGAGCACCTCTACTAGATGCTGGAAGCTAAGCTAAAGTATTTCACCTACCCTACTTCATTTATTCTGTAAAATAACTGCGTGAAATAACAAGTTATCCCCATTTTATAGATCAGAAAAGAGAGGTTTCAACAGGTTAGCTGATTTGCCCAAAGACGTATTTTAAAAGTTGTGATTACGGCCTACAAAGGCAAATCCTACTCTGAGACTCATGTTCTTTCCACCATTGTACACGAGAAAGGAAGGAAAACACCAAGATTATTCATTACTGATCAAGTCAGTATTGCTCTCTATTCAGCTGACTTAGTAATGTGTGTCTTGAAATTAGTTGCTAAAAGGCATTAAACTTCGCGTTTTTTGTTTGATTATATCTACATATAAAAGTAGCTTCAAATGTCGTTCTTTTTACTGTCCATAATTTAAGATTATTTAGTATAATAAAATTTTAAAGATACTTAGAGGCACTTTGGAAAATCAGGCCAAACTCTTTTCAACTCATAGATTCAGCTTAATCAATCTGGAAAGCATTTATTCAGAGTCTTATGACATCATTATTTAATAACTATGGTTGATTCATTAAAGTACAGACAATTGTTCACTATCCATGTGGGACTTTTCTGTTAGGTTGATGCAAAAGTAATTGCGTTTTTTTGTCATTAAAAGTAACAGCAAAAACAATTACTTTTGCACCAACCTAATACAGTGTGGATCATCTGAGATGAATGTTGAAATCCAGTACAGTTTCCTGACGTTTCTGGCCCATTTTTCCCACCATCAAAGTACAGAGCGAAATGAGCTTATGAAAAGCATAGTTTACTAGAAAAATGTTACTGAAAGAAAAATTACAAGGTACAGGACAAGGCTAAATGCTAGGAACTCTAAACTTGAATTTTCTAGGCAGCAGCTTTCCTCTGCTGTCTACTCCGGCAAAGAACAAACTAAGGCCGGGCATAGTGGCTCACAGCACTTTGGGAGGATGAAGTGGGCAGATCACCTGAGGTCAGGAGTTCAAGACCAGCCTGACCAAAATGGCAAAATTCCATCTCTACTAAAAATACAAAAGTAGTCGGGCGTGGTGGTACATGTCTGTAATCCCAGCTACTCAGGAGGTTGAGGCAGGAAAATCGTTTGAACCCATGAGACAGAAGTTGCAGTTAGCCAAGATTGCGCCACTGTACCCCAGCCTGGGCAACAAGACCAAAACTCCATCTCAAGAAGAAAAACAAAAGAACACACTATCATAAATATGTTAGGTCCATGTTTTCTTAAGTTTTCTACCAGGTTTTTATTTTCCTATAGTGAATGAACCGTTAATTAAGAACTTTTTTCTGAGAAATGTTTCAGTGTGACTGTATTGCAGAGTTGGCTGATGGTTCAGTGTTCAGTAGGTTAGATACCCTCATTGTTTATTTCTAGTGACTGGTTCTAGCTAGAGCTGAAGTTAGGTAAAGAATATCTTGAACTCATTTTGCTATACAAGAAAAACAAAGTGCTTCTTTACTCAGTTGGAAAGAAATTTTTTTTTTTTTGAGACGGAGTTTCACTCTTGTTACCCAGGCTGGAGTGCAATGGCGCAATCTCGGCTCACCGCAACCTCCGCCTCCTGAGTAGCTGGGATTACAGGCACGCGCCACCATGCCCAGCTGATTTTTTGTATTTTTAGTAGAGACGAGGTTTCACCATGTTGATCAGGCTGGTCTCGATCTCTTGACCTCGTGATCCACCCGCCTCGGCCTCCCAAAGTGCTGGGATTACAGGCGTGAGCCACCGCGTCCGGTGGAAAGAAATTTTGATTAGAAAAGACAATTAATTTGTATGTATTTATACAAATAGAATACAAAATGAGGCTTGTAAATTTTTTTTCCCCACATGAAAATATGAATCTTAACTTTATTACCTTTTACATTGCTAGTTTGCAGGCAGGTGTAATTAGGGCCTCAGCTGCAGAAATCACGAACATCTGAAGGCCAGCACTTTAATTTGGCCACCGTCTGAAGATTTCTCTGCTCCTCCTCACACTTCACAGTCTGAACTGATGCTGTTCTGTGTAAGGTACTTTTCCACCTACCTCATCTCTTACTGCATTGCTGCATTTTTCACACAGTGAGGACAGGTGTTAATCTCACCATGCCAACAGTCAGGGCACCACCTAGCAGGGTCAACGGAGGCCACAAGAAGCAGTGGAAGATGGCCATTTGGTCATACTGTTTTATAAGAATGACATCTTCAGCTTGGCTGCCGGACTGCAGAAGCATGAAAAGGCAGTTCCATTCTTGTGATCGAAGAATGCCTCTATGTCCAGAGCACTGCTGAGCAAATCATTTCTATCTTGGTGGCACTTAGGTGTGTAAAAGCACTAGGAACATAGAGGAGGAAAAAAGATAAAGACACATTTCAGAATTGCTTGAACCCTGGAGGCGGAGGTTGCAGTGAGCCGAGATAGCACCATTGCACTCAGCCTAGCTGACAGTATCACCAATACCAAATAAATAACCCAGGGCTGTCTTTAGGGATAAATCTGTTTATTTTGTAGTGAACATTTTATAGTGATCCAATCAGGATAAATGAAGCTTTCTTCTTGGTGGAGAAATGGGGTGTATAGAAAGGAAAGAAATTATTCCAATTTCACAACTTGGTGTCTGGAATTTATAGGCTAAGCCAATGAGCAGTCATTTGCGGGCAGTCTGTCTTTTGGAGATCCCACTTCCCATCATATAAAAATGCTACAGTGGGCCGGGCGCGGTGGCCCACACCTATAATCCCAGCACTTTGGGAGGCCGAGGTGGGTGGATCACGAGGTCAACAGATCGAGACCATCCTGGTCAACGTGGTGAAACCCCCGTCTCTACTAAAACAAACAAAAAAATTAGCCGAGCACGGTGGCACGTGCCTATAATCCCAGCTGCTCGGGAGGCTGAGGCAGGAGAATTGCCTGAACCCAGGAGGCAGAGGTTGCGGTGAGCCGAGATCGCGCCATTGCACTCCAGCCTGGGTAACAAGAGCGAAACTCCGTCTCAAAAAAAAAAAAAAAAAAAGAGGCTGGCAGGAGCCTTTGTTTAAAAAAAAAAAATGAAAATGCTACAGTGTACTCAGAGTTTACCTTGAATCAAGCGAGTGATTTTTCTTATCAAATAAAGATTATCATTTTTATTTTAATAAGTTACACAGCGGATTCATATTTAAAGTTTATATTTATACCTAACTATAAAAGTTGTGTTAGATTAGTTGACATGTTACACTTTGTTGTCTTTTTTTTCTTTCTTGAGATGGAATCTCACTCTGTCACCCAGGCTGGAGTGCACTGGCGCGATCTTGGCTCACTGCAACCTCTGCCTCCTGGGTTCAAGTGATTCTCCTGCCTCAGCCTCCTCAGTAGCTGGGATTACAGGTGCCCGCTGCTACACCCAGATAATTTTCTGTATTTTTAGTAGCGACAGGGTTTCACCATGTTGGCCAGGCTGGTCTCGAACTCCTGACCTGCTGATCCGCCCACCTTGACCTCCCAAAGTGTTGGGATTACAGGTGTGAGCCACCACACACAGCACACTTCATTGACTTTAAGCATCAATTTCAATCTGATGACTTTTGTTTTCTATTTTGGATGCAGTGATTTTTAAGGTTTCAAACATTTTGTAGGCCTGTAGCCCAGTACCTCAAGTATCTAATGGATATGGTAATAAACCTCAAGCTTTGTTGAAAAAAATGTCACCAGCTGACAGAGCTCCCTTCTCCACTGGTTTTGCCCCCCAGGAAGTGGAAGGCCACGTGGGGCTCCCTCTCTGAGCCTAGGGCAAAAACCCCAATGTGCTTTTCTTTAGGGAAATACTTTGCTGCAGGAGATCAAGACAGACAACAGAGGCATTACCAGGTGCTGAAAGCTCATGTAGGGCCCTGGGTTATTTATATACCCAGCTGGTGACAGTCTGGCAGGGAACGGTTGTTGTCATAAGAACGCCTGGCTGGGCACGAGGGCTCACACCTATAATCCCAGCCCTTTGGGAGGCCAAGGCAGATGAATCACCAGGTCAGGAGTTTGAGACCAGCCTGGCCAGCATGGTAAAACCCCGTCTCTACTAAAAAAAATACAAAAATTAGCTGGGTGTGGTAGTGCGTGCTTGTAGTCTCAGCTACTTGGGAGGCTGAGGCAGGAGAATCACTTGAACCCGTGAGGCAGAGGTTGCAGTGAGCTAAGATTGCACCACTGCACTCCAGCCTAGGTGACAGAGAGAGACTCCATTTCAAAATAAAATATATAAGAACTCTTTAATTACATGAACTTTACAATACCTTGGGATTTATCTGGACAGCCTCTTCATTATAATGTAGGAGAGCTTTCTGCCCTGAATGGGTGAGGTTCACAAACACCTGAAGGCACGGGTACTTCCCCTACCACGGCAGTGCACACCGCAGGTGAAGGCACAGTCCAGCCAGTCGTCCGTGATAGCTGTGTGGATGGCAGTGCAGGTCAATTCTTCCCTCTGAGTGCTTCAATTTGGGAGAAAAAAAGTTCTTCACTTACTAGAAAATTTCGTTCTACATTTCGGTGTGGTAGTACAAGGCATTTGTGTATCTGGAGGTAGCGCAGGATCCTTACAGCAGGCACATACTAATCAGGGAGCATGGAAGACCCAGAGTCGGGGTAAAGAGCCCCAAAGTGCCGAATTCCACCTCACTTCTGATCCTACTAACATTTTCTCACTATACCAATGGCTTTTAAACTTCAGAATCGGCCGGGCGCGGTGGCTCAAGCCTGTAATCCCAGCACTTTGGGAGGCCGAGGTGGGTGGATCACAAGGTCAAGAGATCGAGACCATCCTGGTCAACATGGTGAAACCCCGTCTCTACTAAAAATACAAAACATTAGCTGGGCATGGTGGCGCGTGCCTGTAATCCCAGCTACTCAGGAGGCTGAGGCAGGAGAATTGCCTGAACCCAGGAGGCGGAGGTTGCGGTGAGCCGAGATCACGCCATTGCACTCCAGCCTGGGTAACAAGAGCGAAACTCTGTCTCAAAAAAAAAAAAAAAAAAAAAAAAATAAATAAATAAACTTCAGAATCACCTGTGAGTTTGTTAGAATGAAGAATCTGTTAAACTGTGGAATCCAGGGCTTCGCTCCAGAGATTCTGGTTCGGTAGGTCTGACTTGAGGCTCAGGAATCTTTCTTTTTTTTTTTGAGACGGAGTTTCGCTCTTGTTACCCAGGCTGGAGTGCAATGGCGTGATCTCGGCTCACCACAACCTCCGCCTCCTGGGTTCAGGCAATTCTCCTGCCTCAGCCTCCTGAGTAGCTGGGATTACAGGCACGCGCCACCATACCCAGCTAATTTTTAGTATTTTTAGTAGAGACGGGGTTTCACCATGTTGACCAGGATGGTCTTGATCTCTTGACCTCGTGATCCACCCGCCTCGGCCTCCCAAAGTGCTGGGATTACAGGCTTGAGCCACCGCGCCCGGCCCAGGAATCTTTCATCGTATTTAAGATGCAGATATATGGAGAACCACAGTGTAAACAACGTTAGCATTACCCTAACACTGTAACCACCAAGATCCACACTCAGGAATCTCATGCTTCATCCTCTCAAGATGTCCTGGCTCCTCCTGACGTGCCTTTGGAAGGAGTCCAACTACAGGGCCCTTGGTCAACACAGCCTACACAATTTCTGGCAGCAAGGTACAATTCCACGTACCCACTCTACTTCCAAAGAGGCAAGTGCAAATCACACATGTAACCTCTCTGTAGAATACTTACCATATTTTTGCTACCAGTAAGTTCCCTGAGGTCAGGAGCTACATCCAATTCTTCTGTGTGTTCCTCAAAGCATGAAACAGAATGCCTCTCCCTAGGTAGATGTTCAGTAAGTGCTGTACTGAATTAAATTTTCCTTGGAAAAAATTTCTTGAGAATTTTCACATGTACTACATATGTAAGTGTCCTAGGTGCTATGAGAAGTGACAGGCAGAATTCCTACCACAAAGACCTTGTGGTGGTGTTAAGGAGAAAGGATGTGGATATGTATGAAATAATTTGAAAACAAGTGCAAGAAAAAGGAAACAACGGGAAGAGGAAATGCTTTGATTGAATGTATGGGACCAGCTCTGCATATGCCCTCACACTCACATGTAGGTGGGCCCCTGTGTTTACTTACTGGTTCCTTAAACATAGTAAGTTAGATTAGCAAGCTCTAAAGTCAGAATGTTTCAAAAGCAGGGCCAGGCACAATGGCTCATGCCTATAATCTCAGCACTTTGGGAGGCTGAGGCAGGCGGATCACTTAAGGCCAGGAGTTTGAGACTAGCCTGGCCAACATGGTAAAACCCCATTTTCACTGAAAATACAAAAATTAGCTGGGTGTGGTAGCACACACCTGTAATCCCAGCTACTCAGGAGGCTGAGGCAGGAGAATTGCTTGAACCCAGGAGGTGGAGGTTGCAGTGAGCCGAGCGCCACTGCACTCCAGCCTGGGCAACGGAGCCAGACTCTGTCTCAAAAACAAAAATAATAAGATTTGAAAAGCAATATTTAGCTACATACCTACTGCACTCTCATTAATCTTTTTGACCAAAATAATCATTTTCCCTTATTAATATAACATGCAGTTTAACATGTCCTCAAGGTCCAGGATATCAAAATCACTAGATGTAGCCTAAGAAAAAATAATGGGCAAGTGAAAATGCAAAAATGGAAAACAAGATCCTTTCCTAGATTTCACACTGGCCTGCTTTTCCACTAAATTAATTTATATACTTATTTTAACTAGGCATCTAGAAATAATGTAGAGTTACCTTTTTATCTGTTAGAACTTAAGCTCTCTAAATCTTGACCAGGTACTGAACCAAGTATGATTTGAATTTTTCTTGAGGATTTTAGAAAGCTCCAAAACAGAGTGGGACATTCTGTCCTATGTACAAGGCCCAATCAGAGTCTTTAGGGTGGAACCAGGGATGTATTTAGGGCTAAAAAATGAGCATGTTTCTTCAGTAGCATCGGATGTGTATTTGACTACAGCTGTGACAAAATCCATTACTTGATTGAGAGATGAGAGGCTGAGGGAGTGGGGATAGGTATGAGCTACCCAGCCCTTCTTCACTGCCCCCCTTTATGGAGTAAAAGTATTCTCTGAGATGGTACAAGATGCAAGGCAAGAGAGACGAGAACTCACCACTCTTAGGCATTCACTTAGTTTAACCAAGCAATTACCAGGAATGCTTAGAAAAGTAAAACTTAAATATATGAGCGACAATTTGGTACCAGCTTGCAGAAGGTACTCAAGCCATCTCCCAAATATATCACATTTTAAAAAATAATCTAATCTGCCTGTGCATACACGTTACTCAACTTATATAGACATGTAATGCAGATAGATATATATATATATGATGAGGGGAAAGGAGTAACAGCAAAAGAGGAAAGAATGAATGAAGTCACAAGTGAGGTACAGCCAAGACACGAGAATCGCTTGAACCCAGGAGTTTGAGACTAGCTTGGACAACATAGTGAGATCCCATCTCTAAAAAAAAGTGAGGTACAAACATGTAACCTGCAGACCATAAGATCCCTTATAGTTATGAGAACTGACCTACATATTTGCCTTGAGCTTCCTAGCAGGCAAAGCAATGAAGGAAATATAACCAGATATAAGATTCTTGGTGTCCATTAAATAAAAGTAAGCTGGTTGATCAGGAGCAGCACAGCGTCTCCTGGTGCTAATGCCAGAGAGAAGGTTCTTCTAGAATTCTTCCAATAGCGGCACTGTACACTGTAGTAAATGGTGACCTCTTCATCTTTCCCCTAACAATGGTAAACTAAGAATGGCAGGAGATGAATCACAAATAACAGAAGTAGGCCACTCTCTTCCTTTCCTACGACCCCGTTCCCTCACTGAACTCCTAGGCCTTCCTCTTCCATTACCCTGTGGCCTTCTGTTGCTTTTTGGCTGTCCAAAAAACACCCCTTGCCTTCCTTTCACCCTGATCTGACCTGGCCCCAAAGTACCCCATGTTGTGTGGACCATCCTCCAAATTAAATAGCTCCTCCCCTTCCCTAATCAAAACCCCTATCCCCCTCATGTCAGCAAGCTTCATTTAGGCAATAAGACACAAGAAGTCTTATGTCAGAATGACAGGCACATTCTTTACTGGCCTGTGAACTCGGGCAAGTTACTTGGCCTTTCTGAGCCTCAGCTTTCTCATTTATGAAATGAAAGTTAAAATAACACTCCCATCATGCGCTGTCAGTTTAAGTAGGATAAAACAGAGTATGTATTGGGCACAGAGCATATAGTTAGTAGCAAATGAAGTTGACCCTGAAACAATTCAGGGGTTAAGGATGCCAATGCCACACTCCCAACCCTGCAGTCGAAAATCTGCATATAACCTTTGACTCCTCAAAACTTAACTACTGGGCAGCCATGATGGCTCATGCCTGTAGTTCCAGCACTTTGAAAGGCCAAGGTGGAAGGATGGCTTGAACCTAGGCGTTCACACCAGCCTGGGCAACATAGGGGGACACCATCTCTACAAATAATTCAAAACTTAGCCAACTGTGGTGGCACACACCTGTGGTCCCAGCTACTCAGGAGGCTGAGGCAGGAGGATCGCCTGAGCCCAGGAGGTTGAGGCTGCAGTGAGCCATGATTGCACCACTGCACTTCAGCCTGGGTGACAGAGTGAGACCCTGCCTCAAAAAACCAAAACAAAAAAAACTTAACTACTAATAGCCTACTGTTTACTGGAAGCCTTACCAGTAAACAGTTGATTAAGACATTTTTTGCATGTTTATATGTATTATATAGTGAATTCTTACAACAAAATAAGCTAGAATAGCCAGGCACAGTAGCTCATGTCTATAACCCCAGTGACTCAGGAAGCCGAGGTGGGAGGATTGCTTGAGCCCAGGAGTTCAAGACTGTAGTGAGCTATGATCACATCACTGCACTCCAGCCTGCAGGGAGCGAGACCCCTTCTCTAAAAAAAAAGTAAGCTAGAGAAAAGAAAATGCTATTAAGAAAATCATGGCTGTGTGCAGTGGCTCACACCTGTAATCCCAGCACTCTGGGGAGGCTGAGGCGGGCAGATCAGGAGGTCAGAGGTTCAAGACCACCGGGCGTGGTGGCTCAAGCCTGTAATCCCAGCACTTTGGGAGGCTGAGGCGGGTGGATCATGAGGTCAAGAGATCAAGACCATCCTGGTCAACATGGTGAAACCCCATCTCTACTAAAAATACAAAAAATTAGCTGGGCATGGTGGAGCGTGCCTGTAATCCCAGCTACTCAGGAGGCTGAGGCAGGAGAATTGCCTGAACCCAGGAGGCGGAGGTTGCGGTGAGCCGAGATCACGCCATTGCACTCCAGCCTGGGTGACAAGAGCAAAACTCCGTCTCAAAAAAAAAAAAAAAAGAAGAAGTTCAAGACCAGCCTGGCCAACGTGGTGAAACTCTGTCTCTACTAAAAATACAAAAATTAGCTGGGTGTGGTGGTGCACACCTGTAATCCCAGCTACCCGGTAGGCCAAGCAGGAGAATCGCTTGAACCCGGGAGGCAGAGGCTGCAGTGAGCCAAGATCACGCCACTGCACTCCAGCCTGGGTGACAGAGCAAGACTCTGTCCATCTCAAGGAAAAAAAAAAGAAAATCATAAGGAAGAACAAGATCATTCAACATGGTTGAAATGAAGCTGGAAGCCGCTATCTATCCTCAGCAAACTAATGCAGAAACAGAAAACCAAACACTGAATGTTCTCACTTAGAAGTGGGAGCTGAATGATAAGAACACATGGGCGCATGGGCAAACAACACACACAGGGCCTCTCGGTGGAGCAGGGGGAAGGAGAACATCAGGAAGAACAGCTAATGGGCACTGGGCTTAATACCTAGGTGATAGGTTGATCTGTGCAGCAAAAAAACATGGCACGTGTTTACCTTTGTAACAAACCTGCACATTCCGCACATGTACCCCAGAACTAAAAATAAAAGTTGAAGGAAAAAAAATCATAAGGAAGAGAAAACATATTTACTATTCACTAAATGGAAGTGGACCATCATAAAGGTCCTCTCCTTGTCTCTTCATGCTGAGTAGGCTGAGAGGGTGGAGGAAGAGGAAGGACTGGTCCTACTGTCTCAGGGGTAGCAGGCACAGAAGAAAATCTGTTTATAAGTGGATTCTAGCAGTTCAAACCCATGTTGTTCAAGGGTCAATGGTATCATTACATGTATTAAATAAAGAACCTAACTAAAAGAAAAAGAAGGAAAACTAATATGTATTGAGCAACTACTATGTGCCAGGAAAGACACTGTGAAACTCAGAAAAGTCAGACTCCAAACACTGTGCTTGCATACAAGGTTTAACTCTTTCCTGGAATACCAACATTCTAGGGGGAGAATTTGTGACCTAAATGAATAAACTGTAATTTGTGGATTATGTGTTTGGAGGTATATATAGATTATGAGATGGGAGGAAGCAGTGCAGGGAAATATCTTCAACACTTGCCTCCTCCTCCCCCACTCCCAGCTGCCCCCAGCACTGAGAGGGGAAGAGGAATTGTATTTTTCTTGTTCTAAACCAGGCGTCCCCAAACTACAGCCCGCAGGCCGCATGCGGCCCCCTGAGGCCATTTATCCAGTCCCCCGCCGCACTTCAAGAAAGGGCACCTCTTTCATTGGTGGTCAGTGAGAGGAGCACAGTATGTGGCGGCCCTCCAACGGTCTGAGGGACAGTGAACTGGCTCCCTGTGTAAAAAGTTTGGGGATGCCTGTTCTAAACCATGTGAGAGAGTCGCAGATGGAGAAAGCAAAGGCAGCCTCTCCTCCTTTACCATTGTGCCTGGATCTTATCCGAACTGGAAACTGGATTTGCTCCCTCTGTTTCTTACCTGAGCACAAAAGGCCGTAGAATGGTTGTTCCAAGGAAGAAGAACATTAGGACTGAGAAGCCCATCACGGCAAAGCCCAGCAGCATGGCCCGGTCCTCTCCAGCCCTGGATGGCGGTCTTTTGTGCACATCGAATGGGTCTCCATCACTGCAGTCTGTCTCTCTCTTCTTCCCTGAGGCAGGAAAGGCTGTCCTTTGGGGAAAGGGAGAGAGATATTGTGATGAGCTCATAAAGAAGTGGAACATTTCCAATCCATGAGGAATGGAGGGATAATCTCATTCGCTGCCAGTCTGTGTGTCCTGAGCGGGATGAATGCAACACAATGAGATCCCAGTTCAGCGACTGGTGAAAAGTCCATGTAAATAAGCTAAAGTGATGTGTACTCAAGTATTTTAAAAGATATTGTAGCAAGTAAAACTAAGGAATGTTGCCTCGTGCAAGTCTGTAGAGACCTGTTTAATCAATGACTAGGAAGTGTTGTATGTAAATAAGCCTTATTAAATTTGTTCTCTTTCAGGGATATTGTACGTTCCTCCTGAAATTTTTTTACATTCTTCTTTGAATTCCACATGGAAAGAATGACGCAAGAAGTTCACATTTGGAATTAACAGCATCCTGAACAGAGTTTGCGTTGTTCTTTCATATTCAGCTGTTGGAAAGGCAGCATCTCCACCAGCAGGACTTCCAGCCCACTGGCCAGTCCATACTCAGAATTATGCAGCTGTCACGGCTTCTTGGCTCCACTCACCCTCCTCTCCTCCCCTCTGGCCACTCACAGTGCTGCCTAAGTGTCCCTGCATTTCTTCTCTCCTCTCTCCGCTGTGCCTGCAAAGGTGATCCAGCAAAGGAAGTGAAACACTCTTGCAGGGCAGGCTGATGTGGTGAACAGAAAAGTCCAACACAAAGGTGGCAAACTGGTGGCACAGATGACGTCCAGCCCACAGATGTGTTTTGCTTGGGCTTCTCTGTTGTCGTGTGTCTGTGTGTGTGTGTGAGTGTGTGTGTGTGTGTGTGTGTGTGTGAGAAAGAGAAAGAGAGAGAGAGAGAGAGAGAGAGAGAGAGAGAGAGAGAGAACTTGTTCAGACTTTCAAAATCATGACATTTCTCACAAAAACGCTGAGTTCTGACTTTGGAAATAACCCATGATCCGTGCCCCTGCAGAGGAGCAGCGGGCCGAGCTGAGCTGCGGCTGCCCCGGCGGAAGGTGTGTTCTCTACTTTGCCACAACCCCACCACTGCCTACATCACTGTCACTCACTGGCCATGCCCTGCTCAGTAGCCATTGAGTTCCATTTTAAGAAGCTTAATGAAATCTTAAGCCAAACAAACGCAGCACTAATTGTGGAAGCTCATGCTCCATCAAGCTTACTACGTTTTAAAGCCAAGGCAAAAACGCATCAAGGAAGTTACTGGTTGTTTTTTCCCCAAAAGCGTATTTCATACTGTATCCCACACCCTGGCCCTCTCCTCTGCCTACCTCCCTTCTCCCCCAGCAACATCTTTAGGCTCTAAAGAGTAAGGGGACTGTCAGACAGTCCAGAACGTCCCAGGAGCCTGCACCTGAGAGCACCCACCTCAGAAGATGGCGGCGCTCCATGGTTAATACTGCTCTAGGGACCGAGGATCTAGTTGAGGAGTTTTTAGTCCCTTTTGACATTTTACTCACCTCCATCATCCCACCACAAGAGAAAGGGCATGGAAAAGAATTTTAATGAAATCTGAACCCATACATTTTCTAATTTATCAATAAATATGACAGATTGATTAAAAGAACGTTTTAGCCCTAAAGTTTGATGGGTTTTGTCGTCTCCAGGACTCAGTAGACTGCATTTTCCCTGGTGCTCTAAAGCTGGACTTGAGTTGCTCTGTAGTGTAAGGTATCCCAGAAGCTTACTATAAAATATCCTTGGAATCCACGGGTGAAGAGGCTTATAATGAGGTCACTACGGCATTGCTAATACATTTAACATACCCAATTATGATGCTATGTTACAAAAGAAACTGTCATAGCCTGATTCTGATCTAATTTAGGAATAAGACTTACGGGTGTCCTAGACCAGACTTTTTATTTATAATTTTTCTGTCTACTTTGTTCCGAGGCTTTATGAAAAGTTAACAACTTCACTTGGAAAGAAGTCATTTCATGTTTGGGGAAGGGATAACATAAGATAATCATAAAAAACTAAAACACAGATATGCTTGGCTGGGCACAGTGGCTCCCACATGTAATACCAGCACTTCGGGAGGCCAAGATGGGCAGATTACCTGCAGTCAGGAGTTCGAGACCAGCCTGGGCAACATGGTGAAACCTTGTCTCTAATTAAAATACAAAAATTAGCCAGGTCTGGTGGTGGGCACCTGTAATCCCAGCTACTTAGGAGGCTGAGGCAGGAGAATCGCTTTTACCCAGAAGGCGGAGGTTGCGGTGAGCCGAGATCGCACCATTGCACTCCAGCCTGGGTAACAAGAGCGAAACTTCGTCTCAAAAAAAAAAAAAAGAAAAGAAAGAAAAGTTCAAATATGCATGCTAAATAGAAATATCACCCTTTTCTATTCTTTTAGGTGATACTCCAGAAAATTCCAAACTAGTAGAGAGACAAATAATTGAAAGGGAAAAAAAATCCCAAAGAAGGCAATAAAGAAGGAAAAACTCATGAAAATGTCAGGACAAATAGCACAAAATAACATGATAAAATGTTACTGTATCATTATATCAGTAATTACAATGAATCTAAATGAGTAAATGATCCAGTTAAAAGATAGAGATTAGAGCTGGCTGTGGTGGCTCATGCCTGTAATCCCAACTCTTTGGGAAACCAAGGCGGGAGGAGCCCAGGAGTTTGAGACCAGCCTGGGAAACACAGCAAGACCCTGTCTCTACAAAATAAAAACTAAAACACCATCCAAGTGTGGTGGCACACATCCAGTCCTAGCTACTCAGGAAGCTGAGGCAGGAGGACTGCTTGAGCCCAGGAGTCTGAGGCTGCAGTGAGCTGTGACTGTGCCACTGCACTCCAGCTTTGGTGATAGGGTGAGACCCTGTCTCTAAAAAAGAATGTTTTTCAAATATAAAGATTATCAGACTAGATTTAAATACGTATAGTTGGTCCCCAACTTAGGATGGTTCCACTTGCAATTTTTTTACTTTACTATGGTATGAAAGCAATATGCATTCGGTAGAAACTGTACCTCAAATGTTGCATTTGCATATGAACCCTACTCTTCAGTCATGCATCTCCGCTTCTAACCAGTGCATGACCTTGTCTTATTTGTAATCAAGGCAATTACCTACTATCTTCTGTTTTCTTCTGCCAAGTGTGACAGATAGCTACAGGCGCCTCTGGCTCAGCCTGAGGCAAAGTCATGTCGGGACCCCGCAGAAGCCAGCCGCCTCTCCCTGCAGCACTGAAACTTCCTAATTCTTCCAACACTTACTTCACTGGTTCATGCGAAATGAATTTGTAAACACTGAGTACATTCTATTCCTGTTTCCCTGTCATTTGTTTTGGTCACAGAGGAGACGTCTGGTAATTATTTCTACTCTTCTATATTTTAATTATATTTCCTAACAACTTATTTTGTTTTGTTTTTTTTTTGTTTTTTTTTTTTTTTTTTTTTTGAGACGGAGTTTCGCTCTTGTTACCCAGGCTGGAGTGCAATGGTGCGATCTCGGCTCACCGCAACCTCCGCCTCCTGGGTTCAGGCAATTCTCCTGCCTCAGCCTCCTGAGTAGCTGGGATTACAGGCACGTGCCACCATGCCCAGCTACTGTTTTGTATTTTTAGTAGAGACGGGGTTTCACCATGTTGACCAGGATGGTCTCGATCTCTCGACCTCGTGATCCACCCGCCTCGGCCTCCCAAAGTGCTGGGATTACAGGCTTGAGCCACCGCGCCCGGCCCTAACAACTTATTTTGAAACGGCAAATAAGGTTGAGCACAGTCAATGTAGGTCACCCAAGTTGAGCAAGAGGAAACAGCAGTGACCCCACCACGCGTTTCGGGAGTGGCAGCGGCTGCTCCGACACAGCACGGCCGCCTCTCTCTGCGGTCCGCCGCGCGCACCGAACCTGCTGCCCGCGCGTCCGCAATGTCCGCCCTCTGACCTTCCGCCGCCCGTTCGCGGAAGCCGTGGTCCGCGTCTACACGGCAGAGTGCGCTTCCGCCCCCCGCCGTCGGCTGCTCCTTCCTCCCCGCGCCCCGCGTCGCACTCGCCCCTGCGTTCTCTCGAACACGCGCGGGAGGAGCGATCCTGGAAGTGAGTCACACGGCGGCCTCGACCGTCCTTAACGTCCTCCAGTTCCCGGCTCCCAACTCCCCCGGAGCCGGTACGAGCCGCGCTGTCCCCGGGAGCGAGGGGAGCCGGCGGTCGTGGGACGCGCGCCCCGGGGGCTCGTCATCCCAGCCCGGCGCGGGCCCCGGGCCGGCCCCTCTCCGCCGCATCTCCCCGGGGAGAAGACGGCCCGAAGCCCGCTGCTCGCGTCCCCTCCACGGAGCGGGCGTTCCGCACTAGGCGCGCCGGGCTCACCCCGTGCCACGGACCGGGCGCCGAGGGACCTGCCGGGGCTCCCCGCGGGTTGGACGCGGGGACGTTTCCTCACTCCTCATTCAACCGGGAGACTCCCGAGCGCCCCCGCGGCTGGGCGAGTTCTCGAGCCGGGGCCACAGGCGAGCGGGAAGGGGCTGCCGTCCCCGGGACCGGGCGACCAAAGGACAGCGCCAGCGGGAAAGACGGCCGCCCCTGAGGTGAGGAGCCGCCCCCCGAAAGTAAAGGCGGCACCCGCGCCCCGAGCGCCTCTTCCGGCGCCTGCGCAGCCAGATTCCCGCCCCTGCCCCGGCCGAGCGCCTCTTCCCGCGCCCCGAGCGCCTCTTCCCGCGCCTGCGCAGCCAGATTCCCGCCCCCGCCCCGGCCGAGCGCCTCCTGCCGTCCGGGAGTGTGATGTGCGCGGGGACGGCGGCGAAGGGCTGCCTGCGGCCAGGCCTGAGGACACCGCCTCCTCTCGCCCGCATCGGCCCCCGGCGCGCGGACGGGGCGCTTAAGCGGAGGACGCGCAGGCCCCGCGGGTGCCCCCATCCCCCAGCGCGGCCGCCGCCGTCACCAGCGCGCTCTGTCCCAGCGAAGCGCGAACTCGGGCGGGCCGGCGGCGCGGTCAGCGCAGAGGCCTGGGGGTCCGCGTCGGGAGCGTCGCCGGAGAGACGCGGCGCGCGGAACGGTCTGAGGCCCGAGGGGCGCCGCAGCCGGCGGGGGACGCGCTGGCCCCGGCAGGTGGGAAGAGGAGCGTTCCGCCGGCCGCGCCTGGCTTCCCGCCGGCGTCTGTCCGCGCGCAGGCCGAAAGACCGGGTCTTGCTGGCTCACGGCGGGTTCTGATCAAGAGAATTCGCTCTTCAACCACGTGTGATTTCCCGATGTTTAAAACACAAAAGGCCGTAAAGTGACTGGCGCTGAAAACTATCTCGAATCAGAAAAAAACGGTATCAAATATTATTTTTTCTTTCTCCGACGACCTGAGACACCTGGGGATCTTTCCACGCTCGTGGATTCAAGCCTTTCTCCCGCCGCAGCCCACCGAGTACCTGGGATTACAGGTGCACACCACGACTGGATAATTTTTGCATTTTTAGTGGAGACAGGGTTTAACTTTGTTGGCCAGGCTGGTCTCGAACTCCTGGACTTCAAGTGATCTACCCGCCTTGGCCTCCCAAAGTGCTGGGATTACAGGTGTGAGCCACCATACCCAGTCCAAAATATTTGTTTTTAGTGAACAGATGCAATTTGGAATTTTAAAAAGTGAGAATAACTAGAATTTTTTCCTTCTGCCTCCTTCTTATGACTTAACCTTGTACATATGAGATAGCTTTTACTTTTCAGACTTAGATGCGTTAATAATGTCCCTGCAACTTGGTAAACTCTCTGAAGAAGTGCGTGATTTGCTGCTACTTTTACGTATTTGGTTCAACCTCAGAAATAGGGTCATTTTTGAGTCCGTGAGACAAGAGTCACACAGAACTTGCACCTGCCTTAACCGGAGCCCCCTGGTCATTCCTATTGTATGATTCTGGTTCCATTTAAAAGAAAATACTCAGCGGGCGCAGTGGCTCATGCTGAGGCGGGCAGATAACGAGATCAGGAGATCGAGACCATCCTGGCTAACATGGTGAAACTCCATCTCTACTAAAAATTTAAAAATTAGCTGGGTGTGGTGGCACGTGCCTGCACTCCCAGCTACTCTGGAGGCTGAGGCAGGAGAATCGCTTGAACCCGGGAGGTGGAGGTTGCAGTGACCGAGATCACCCCACTGCACTCCAGCCTGGGTGAAAAGTGAGACTCCATCTCAAAAAAAAAAAAAAAAAAAAAAAGAAAGAAAAGATAAGAAAATTCTCATGGGCAATAAGTGAGAAGGAGCAACATGGCTTTTTGCCCTTTGAATTTTTCTAATGCCGCTTCACCTGGTAACCAACTGGCCTCTCTGTCCACCAAATACCACACTCACTCCACTCTTGGCCTGAAAGCCAAGCCTCCTACACACACATACTCCATTCTGAACTCACAGCCTGTCGCTCAAGAAGAACCTAAACTGGTCGGTGTGAGTTGCGATCCCAATGTGTCTGTTCAGGAACACGGCAACGTGACCTACTTGAAACGCAGTGATGAGAGATGCAGGCGCTGTACCTCTAGTGTCCCAGACGCTCCTTCAGCTGACTCCTTCCTCTGAGCCACTAAGGATCACTTCCTGCTCCATAAAGCAGCAACCATGAATTAACTGTCACGTTCACAACGTGGGCCCCTCCCAATCTGACCCAGAGGCTTTGACACTGGGTTCAAATTCTAGCTCTGTGACTTCAAGAAACCCTTAAAAAACTTCCTGCCCTGAATTTCCTCAGTAAAAAGGGAGTGAATAAAACTCAGTGTGAGTTGCAGGAGCATGGAAAAAATTCGTATCTATAAACTGTTGTGAGGTCGATCTATAAAAGAGGCTATTACTGCAAAATGCTGGCGTCATGTATTTCAGGTTCCAGAATCCACAGTCACTTCTTTTGCATTCAGTAGATGCTTTACTCAAGGGGGAAAAAAAAAGAACCCTCTCTGCCTTTCACCATAGTGGAGAAACTACTTCCTCATTCTTTTTCCATTCTCTCAGTTAAATATACAGTAACTATTATGGCAGAGAATTCTTTCCTAGCTGAAATTCTCCCTGTTCATGAAAACTATCTGTGTTTTCAGATTTAGAGATGCACAAATCATTGACAGCAAATTTATACCACAGTCTATGTTCTTTGTGTGACTATATATATATATATATGTGTGTGTGTACAGTCATTCCGTATGGGAATTTTTTGCTGACGCAAGCAAGAATTCAGAGTGTCAAAATTAAGTCACATCTGATCTTACATTCTCTTTGCAGGAAAACAAACAACAGAAAAGTACGATTTGTGCCACAAACTTCTGGAGCCTTCAGTGGGATCTTTTCTTTCCTTTGTGCTGATTGCTGTCTCCAGCCATCCTGCTAATCAGATGGGCACCCGAGTACCTGAACTAGGCTCACGTCAGAGAAACCAGTGTCACCTCTGAGAAGCAGCTACTTCTGCTTATCTCCGGTAATGATACTCATGGCTACTATTAACTGAGCACCTGGGATGAGCAAGGTACAGTTTTAAGTCTATACATATGTTAATTCACTTTTTGGGCTTTTTCAAGAGCAGAGAGCTGCACTGACTCACACAAGCTCACAAGAGCCAAAGAACTGGGTCTATCCTGCCATACAAACAACCCGATGGATGGTGAGGCAGAAACGAACCGCTGAAAATCTTCAACAGTTCAACAGCCCTTGATATATAGTCCTGTTCGAAATCCACTGTGACTGAGTGTTTACCAGGTGGCACTTGGTTTCATATTTTAAGTGGAGGTAATTGTTCCACTACATGACTGGTTCTTGAACTAAAGTGTGATCCTCTATTAAATACAGATGCCCAGGTCCCATCTCTGGAGATTCTAATAAAACAATTAGGGTGAAGGACCCAAGAACTTGCATTTAAAAAGCCCTTTCTATGATCTTAACACAGGTGGCCCTACATTTATACTTTGGGAGCTATTAGGTCACATGATGCATTAAATAGGAACCTAAGCACCATTTGTGGTCTCAGGTCATGCTGCCTCCTTGGAACGCAGCTTATTTCTCTGTGCAGTGTGGGAGTTGGAACAGATGATTTAATATGCCTTTAAGATCTGCCTTTAAGCCAGGCATAGTGACTCACACCTATAATCCCAGCACTTTGGGAAGTCCAGACAGATGGATCACCTAAAGTCAGTAGTTTGAGACCAGCCTTACCAACATAGTGAAACCCCGTCTCTACTAAAACTACAAAATTACCTGGGCATGGCAGTGCATGCCTGTAATCCCAGATACTTGGGAGGCTGAGGCAGGAGAATCACTTGAACCCGGGAGGCAGAGGTTGCAGTGAGCTGAGATCAGATTGTGCCATTGCACTCCAGCCTAGGCAACAAGAGTAAAACTCCATTTCAGGCCGGGCGCGGTGGCTCAAGCCTGTAATCCCAGCACTTTGGGAGGCCGAGGCGGGTGGATCACAAGGTCAAGAGATCGAGACCATCTTGGTCAACATGGTGAAACCCCATCTCTACTAAAAATACAAAAAAAATAGCTGGGCATGGTGGTGCGTGCCTGTAATCCCAGCTACTCAGGAGGCTGAGGCAGGAGAATTGCCTGAACCCAGGAGGCGGAGGTTGCGGTGAGCCGAGATCGCGCCATTGCACTCCAGCCTGGGTAACAAGAGCGAAACTCCGTCTCAAAAAAAAAACAAAAAAAAAAAAACTCCATTTCAAAAACAAAACAGAGCCCGGTGCGGTGGCTCACGCCTGTAATCCCAGCACTTTGGGAGGCCAAGGCGGTTGGATCACGAGGTCAAGAGATGGAGACCATCCTGGTCAACATGGTGAAACCCTGTCTCCACTAAAAATACAAAAATTAGCTGGGCATGGCGGCGCGTGCCTGTAATCCCAGCTACTCAGGAGGCTGAGGCAGGAGAATTGCCTGAACCCAGGACGCAGAGGTTGCGGTGAGCCAAGATCGTGCCATTGCACTCCAGCCTGCGTAACAAGAGTGAAACTCCGTCTAAAAAAAAAAAAAAAAAAAAAAAAAAACAGAACAAAAGATCTCAATCTCCCTTTAAGATCCACGAAAGTATATGAAACCCTAAGTTTGTTTGCAGGAAGCAGGTATCTTCTCTCCTGGAGTGACAGTAATGCAAGGATTCCCTCATCAGCCGCTGAGAGGCAGCACTCACCTAGAGAGAAGAGAAGAGAATCCAGCCACTGTGTGCCCAACCCAACTTTTCCTAGAACATAATGGTCACTTGGATGCCCTGAACAACCATGGTGTTGCGCTCAGTGCTACGAGAACATAATTTCCTTCAGACACAGAACTTGAGGAGGTAGGAACTTTTTGGTCATTCAGCAGATGAGGACACAGAAGACCAGAGTGTCTGAGGAATTGTGCAAAAATCACAAAGTAATGAGAGCTAGGTCCAGGGCTCCAGTACAGACCAAATTCGAAAGCCCATGCTTTTACTGACAATAATATTCTGCCTCACTCAGTGACTTGAGGTTATTCTTGTAAGTGTCTATTCTCAAGGCTTGAAGGAGCCTTAGCCTTTTGACCCAGGAATGTTGCTGGCCAAATTGTTACACAGACAGAATGTTCATAGCTTTTTATAAGTCTGCATGTCTTGATCACTTTTAGATAAATTCTATTCGAGATTTGATGAAGCCGCCATTTTTTTTTTTTTTTTTTTTTTTTTTTTTTTTTTTTTTGAGACGGAGTT